AGAAGGCAAGGACAACCCCTGCCTCCATCCAGAGAATGGCCCTCTCCCTAGCTCCTAAGGCTGCTTGGGACTTGGATTCAATTTAGCATAGACTTTTAGAGCACTGAGAGATTAGGTGATTTGCTGTCTCTCAACCAATGACTCAGACAACTTGAATCCAATCTTCTGGGCTTTGATGTTGGCTTTCTATCCATTAGCCGTAACAGAATGTACAGTGGCAAAAAGATTTTTTTCCTTTAAATAGTATTCCAGTCACTGTCAGAGTTCTTTGACCTTACTGCATTTTATTAGTTAATAACCATAGATTCTTAAGAGGAATGCTGATTAGTGTTCAAGGTGCCACTGTGCCTTGAAGCTCCCTGAAATGGGAATCAGGAGGCCCAAGCATTGAATATTTTCCTACAGAAATAAGTCTCGTTCATTTGTAACAATGATATAGTAATTACCAAATCAACTCTAACAAATTATATATGTTATTTTAGAATTTGGTGGATAACAGTACATCATGAACCTTTTAGATCTGTGGTCAGTCATTGTGTTCATCAGAGTTCCTATGCTTTTCAAAGTTATATTCACGTTATTTCTACACGCACTTTTGGTGCCTTTCCTGTTGGTCTTTCGCAGCTCTCATTATCTGCTCTACACTATTCTTTGGTGAGCCCATTAATTCTTACAGGCCCAATCAGCATTTTCATGAAGATGATTTCCAACTTACCTATCAAGTCTCACTCATTTGAATACCTGGAACTGAATGTCCTATAGACATCTCAAATTTCACATGTCCAAGATAGAACGATATCTTCCCCCCAAAACCCTCCCCCTTTTTTCAACTTTTTGTTACTATCAAAGGACTGCCATACTCTCAAGCACCCAAGCTCACAACCTCAGTACCATCCTCGGCTCTTCACTCACAATCACCCCATATATCCAATCCACTGTCAAATGTTTTCTGCCTTCTCAATGAACCCTTCTCTCCACTTAAAGTCACTGGCTGAGCACAGGCTCTCATCTTCCCTTTCCTGTACTTTTCAACAGTATTCTAATTGTTGTCCCTGCTTCAAGCCTCTCCCCAACATAATCTATCTTCCATTTGGCTGTGAAAGTGATTTCCCCAAACTAAATATCTAAGTATGTCACACCCTACCCCAATTCAATAAATGCCAGTGGCTCCCTATTATCTTTAGGACCAAGTAAAAAGCCCTCATTTTAGCACTAAAATCCCTTCAGACCTCACCTTTTTTCCTTTCCAGCGTCATCTTTATTCTCTTCCATACACTCTAATTCAGAAAAAAGGCCTGTTTGCTATTCATCATATGCGACATTTCATCTACAGGCCTTTGAACTGTCTCTTTGGTTGAAATTTTTCCTTCTTCACTCCTACTCCTTAGCTTCTCTGGCTTCATTCTTATCCAAGACTTAACTAAAATCTCATCTTCTGCAAGAGACCTTTCCCAGTCACTTCCATTTCTAGTGTCTTTCATCTGAGAATACCTTCTGAGTTGTTTTATGTACATGGTTTTATACATCACATCTCCATCAGTGGGTCAGTTACCTGGCACAATGGATAGAGTGCAGGCCTGGAGTCAGGAAGATTCATGTTCCCGAATTCAAATCTGACCTCACTTACTGTGTGACCCTAGGCAAGTCACTTCACACTGTTCGCCTGAGTTTCCTCATCTGTAAAATGAGCTGGAGAAGGAAATGAATGGCAAACCACTCCAGTATCTCCGCCAAGAAAATCCCAAACAGGGTCACGAAGAGCTGGACACAACTGGAAAATGACTGAACATGAACTCCTTTAGTGAGTCCTTTGAGGGCAAGTGTAACGCTTTTGCCTTTCTTTATATCCTCAGCACTTAGCATAATACCCACCAGTGCAAAGAAAACAGTAAGTGTACTGACTGACATAGGACATCGTATGATTCTGGAGGTGACACAAAGTCAATGAAGTTGGAGGGAGTGTGGGTGGGGAAGTGACAATAGTGTGACCTGTGCTTTAAAAAAACCACTTTAGCGGCTGAGTGGAGGATAGATTGATACAGAGATGTCAAGGCAGTGACAATTAGAAGGTTACTGCTATAGTCTAGGGTGGGTAGCGATGAGCTGTACTAGGATGGTTGTATTAATATCCTGTTGGATCCTGACTCTGTCCTGTTGTGTTAGCTATCCTTCCCAGCTATGTCTGCAAATTTGATGAACACACCCTTAATACCTTTATCGAAGTCAATATTAAACATGAAACAGCACAGGCCAAACACAGATCCCTGACGTACTCATGACATTGAACAATTAAGAACTAGTCTTTTTGTTTTTGCTTTTTGGTGAGGCAATCGTGGTTAACTGACTTGCCAGAGTCACACAGCTAGTAAGTGCCAAGTGTCTGAGGCTGGATTTGAACTCAAGCCCTCCTGACTCCAAGGCCAAGGCGCTATCTACTGCTCCACCTAGCTGCCTGTATTTTTTCTATTAACTTAAAATCTCCTAAAATATTACTGACGTCAGCATTAGAGCCTATGAGAAGTATCAATTTTCTACTACCTAGCAAAGGCTAATGACCAGTAGTTGTGGGATAACAAAAACAAAACAAAAGCAGGTAAGATTTAAAAAATATATATTCAAGCTCAAATATACTGAAATAGAATTATCGTCATTCAGTCTTATCCAACTCTTCCTAACCTCGCATGAGGTTTTCTTGGCAAAGATACTGGAATAGTCTGCCATTTCCTTCTCCAGCTCATTCCACAGATGAGGAAACTAAAGCAAACAGGGTAAAGTGATTTGCCCAGGGTCATAAAGCTAGTGTCTGAGGCCAAATTTGAACTCATGGAGAGGAATTTTCCTGACTCCAGGCTTGGCACTATGTCCACTATGCACCTAGCTGCCCGTAAGCAGAGCTTTACTGTAACTTAGAATAAATATTTCTGATTGAGCTAATTAAATGCTACACTTGTTTCATCCTTGTTAATCTTTAACATATAAATCCACTCCTGTTTTCCTAAGTCAGATAAACTGAACAGTGTTTTGTGCTCACAGTTCATTTGCCCTAATTTAAGGACCTTAGAAACTGTTCACTGGGTGTTTCAGTTCCTAATAACCAAACCGCTTTTCTTGTCACTTACCACTTTCTCAGACTACGTCCAGTCTGGATACCTACGAGCAGGGCACAGCCAGTGGGCAACAAGGGACCCAGTTTCTCGATGCTGGCTCAGCTCTTTGGCATGGGCCCTTGGAGACAAGGCTATCAATGGGGGGTAATGGGGCTGGGAGCTGAGCAAGCATCATGAAGACAGGATAACTTCTCCAAGGACTAGGGTTGGAAACCTAACCTTCAATACCCAAATCCATTTTACAAGATCATTGATGGTAAAGCCCTCTGACACTAGACTCTTCTTCCCTCAGCAACAAGTTAGCCACAATATCTTCAAATTCCTGCAGGGATCCAAAAGCCTCAGCATTAATCAGGCTCTAAATTTTTTTTCCTCAGGTTTTAAGCTCCTTGAAAGTTTGCCTCTTAACTTTGTATCCTCTATACCTAGAATAGACAAGGACAAGTAACATGCACTTATTTGTTACAGATGAGGAAACCAAAACTAACAAAGTTAACTTTTAACTCAAGCTCACACAGGTAGTCTAGAGCCTTCAAACATGCGCATTACAAGACACTTTTGCAAACATAATGAGCCCACAAATTTTCTCCAAGCCCTTTAATATTTCACTTTTTAACAGCTTGAGGCACAAGCAACATTAAAAAAATCCATCTTTTATAAGGCTGAAAATTCTGTATAGTGCTTGCTTATGTACTAAACCAACATTCTTGAAATTTCTGTAACATTTTATATTCTGAGCAACACCCTTGTCCACAGGTTGAATAATGTAACAAAAACAGGCATGACGATAAAAATCATGTGTCCAAAATATTCCTGATGCTTTGCACCAAATATGAAATTATGAAACAGATCAAAAGTATTTGTCCACACAAAGAAACCTGTCTACCTCTGAAAGCTCATGCCTTTCATTTCCAAAGGTTTTATCAAGTGTGTACATAATTTGTCTTTTCTTAAAGAGGGTTGGTGGGGAATAGGAAAGGGGCACATTTAATTCACTTCAACATAACAGGCTTTGACATTACCAAAATGGACTGGGGTTTCATAATAGATAAAATCCTTTAGTAAGCGAAGACGGACCAGTCCTACAAGCAGACATCTACCTTCAAGATCAATTATTTTTCGAAGATATTTAGCTTTCTGATGGCACGTGTAACTAGCATTAAATCTGTACTCCCCGCCCCAAAATACAACTATAATTTGCTAAAAAGAAAAATTCATTTTTCATTCTTTTGATGAACAATAAACAAGAAATAAGGAAAATATTCCCCCATTAGCTCACTAAAATATTTCTCACAAGGGCCCAATTTAACACATACCTCTTAGGATCAGAAATAGCCAAGTGCAAATGACTTTTTACTGGGCAGGCATGGACGTCACAAGGATAATCTTTGGCTTTCCTGTATCCAAATTTATCTTGCCTTCTTTCTTTCACTTATGGGTGTTCGGATGGTTTGTAACATAGGACTGGTTTTCTAGTCCAGATCCTCAATTTCATCAGTTTAAGAAACTCCTGCTACAGAAACTCTACCCCTATGGATCAGCAACTTTTCTATAACCTTCTATAAATTTCTCCAAGTTTTTTTTCTTTCCTTTCAATGTTTAAGTGGTCTGCTCCACTCCATAATATTTCTATAATGCTTCATTTCTTCCAAAGAAGCTTGCACTTTGCTATTTGTCTTAGCTCTCAGTATCTACCCTCTTCCTCTAATTATCTGCAGACTAGTTACAACACTTCTTTAACATGCTCAGAGCAGAAAGCCTGAGGAGCTCCACAAAAGCCTTATTCCCCCTGGTGGAATGGCCTCCCCTTCTCCCCCATTTTTAGTCACCAAATCATCATTTTAAGGCTCTCAGTTCTTAAGATTATAAAACTAGAACAGATTTCAATGCTAATGAAGAGAAAATATGACTTTTTTAATGAAAAGTTTTATAAACAGGTCATAGCAAATTATTGGGGCCACTCTATAGTTCAGAAACACTTAAGACAGTGTTTGGTCTAGAATGTCCCAATATGTACCAGATGCTAGGCTTTAGTTTTCCAACTGGTTTGCCTATAGAAAAAGAGCTTGATCAGCCTAATCCCCCTCTGATGTCATGATGTCAAACCCTGGTGTTTCAACGTTCAAGAAAGTAAAAAAACGACGACGACAAAGATTTGAAGGTATAGAGGAGAAACAAATGAAGACAATGGAGAAAAGTGCAAGGAAGCAAAGGGTAAGATATACTTGCTCTAAAATGTATCAGGGTTGGAAGAGACTTCACCTTAGAAATCTAATCCAACACATACCTGAAAAGGAGTTCCAAAAAGGTCACAGAGTCTCCAATTTAAAGACCTCCAATGACGGGGAATTCACAGTTTCCTGAGATAAACCTACTAGTCTACTTTTGGATAGCCAACTGTCAGAAAATTTTTCTTCACTAATTTTTAAAAAGAAAAACTCATCAGGGTAATAGTAATAGGCCAGGGAAACCATTTTGGAATACGTAAATATTTGTGACTAGTAAGACAAACATGTATGGAAAATACACCATAACTAAGTGGCTTTGACGACGAGGAAGATAATCATAGAGCAGAAAAGAACTCAGATTTCAGCAGTTCTGCAATAAAGCAGTCTGTCCTACACAATCAGAGCTGTAAGTGGCAGAACAGAACTAGAACACGTTTCTTGACTGTTACTAGTTCAGTGCTCTTTCCAATAACTCTGATTTGCAAGATAAATATCCAGGACTCATAAGCTTATTTTAAATAAAATAATTTTCAAGGGTTTTTTTTGGTTGTTGATAGCTGTTGTCTTATACACCAAAAATATCTCCTAAATGTATGCATGATTATCTTTATGAACAGGAAATATTTCACATCCAGTGACTTTCACAGCTTGTTAGCTTTGGTAAATTAAAAAAAAAGTCATCAGTTTTCTACTATACTACCATATATACTAAGATAAACCAAATCCACCCATTAGCTCTCTAACATGGAGTGCAGAATTCTTTTTATTGCCTTAACTTTTATTTTTCAAAAATGAGCACTGGGTATTTTTTAACATGTAGTAGTGTCATGTCATATGTATCTTACAACTGCATATTTTAGTAACAAATGAAATTAGTAATATTTAGATAATTCATAGTGTATTTATAAAATGAATTTTTTTTTATCAAAATACACTTCTCACTAAGATAAATAAATAAAATCCAAGCAAACCCACCTACACAAAGTTAGAATCCACTTTGGTAGATTTCAGTGTAATACATAGTCCATAACTAGCATGTTTGCCCTTTCCCCCCATTGCTGCTCATCTTCTGGGCTAAGAATTATTTAAAAATTTTTATTAAGATTTTATTGTGTTGACATGTTTCTCATTCCACGTCATCTTCGGCCAAGCTCTGTACACTCACAATTCTCTATGGAGAAAAAAAAGTAAATATATATAGGTTTCATACAAAAAACATTAAGCCCACCTACATACAAGAATACATTGCTAATCCAGGCATTTGGAAATTGTACCTTACTAGACAATTCACCTTATTATTTTTAAAATATATGGTATTTCATAGTTATGGCCAAGTAGAAAGGTGACCAAATTAAACCTATTTCCATTTGAAAATGCAATACAAAGCCTACCAACACATGGCAGCTTTTCTACTTTGTAACCCACAGAATTAACATGCCATTATTTAAACTAAAACAAAGGGGAGGTAGAAAATGGGACCCCATATTCTTCTCTCCCTGGTAAACAAAACGACACTACTGATCAAGACTTTCAGAACAATTCACCCTGAAAGCATTTCTACTTCAAAGGAATGCAGGCTCACCATAAGATACCCAAGCACTGCAGTATGATTATAACAAGGTATTAATATCTGAAACATTTACAGAGCCTGGTCATCACAGGTTATAACTTCATCCCCTACATAGGCCAATATTTACACAAAGAAATTTAGTTTTCACTCTATACTAAGTTTTCAATACTCCACTGTTCAAGAGACAAAAATAAATAAAAATTAACCTCAAATAATGTTTCTATAAAAGGAGGAAGACAAATTTCATAGGGGAATGATACTACTAGGCATAAGTAATGCAAAGAACCAAATGAAGTCAGTATGTCTTCAATAACACAGAGGTTAAAATTTAGTTTAAGAAAATTCAAAGAATTCTTACAGAAATTGTAATGTACTTGTGGGCTCTTGGTTTTGCTTTACTTTACTCCTTTTCCCCCTTTGTCTAATAATGTGCAAGCTACAAGTGCCTCACGGTAAGTATTCCTAAATTCTTCTTCTAGTGTGGTAATAGTGGCGCAAGAGATCAGGTACATGCACTGTTGCTACTGTAAAAATCAATTTTCTGTGCTGTTAACTTCTGATACCATATCCTTCTATGGGCAAGGTCTAAACAGATCTTAACCCTAGTTTTTGGGTCCTCTAGTCAATGGAATTTTTTGTTCCCCAGCTCCTACTCCCACTAAGTATCAAAATCCAGCTAGGAAAGATGATCATTCTGAAGGGTCATTGAAAGGGTACTTAATGATTAAGATTCTGTACTAATGATCTCTTCCCACTTTCTCCATCATGTTTTACATATTATTTATCACTACCAAGAAAAGGCTACTTATAAATTAAAAGGCTGACTTTTGTGTTTCACGATATATAATCTTCCAAATACTAAATGTGCACTCTCTTAAAAAAAATCCTTTAGGCTTCTGGAGCAGAATATAGTACTGTATCACTAGTGACTCTAACATATTCATAACTTATATACTCCAAGTCTTGGAGTGGTACCACTATGATATACCCTCTTTAATATAAAACCTATCAATGAGAGCTGACCCTATAAGTTACGTCCTAAAAGTCAGAGAGGGTATTCCTTGATACAACAAAGGCATGCCGGTTCTAAATATCAGGGGGCTATAACTTTCAGCATATCACTTACCAAGACAGGAAAGTCTTATAGAGACAGCCCAACATAACTTTGTGTCAAAAACAATAAAATTTATGGGTAGGAGCATTTTTAAAGGTTAATGATCTTCAAGGATCATTCTCTCTAGTAATTACACCATTAGGTTGGGTCAACTCAGTATGGCAAAGTTTATAATAGCCAGTGGCAGTAACTATTACATATTAACAAGAAAATTTCATAATCTTATTATTCACTATAGTTTTATGTAATATCATAATATTATTCCATATTATTATTATCCTAATTGGATCTGAGATATATATGCCTGTAATACTATTTCAAATTTATGGCTGAATTTTATTATTTAACTAGGTTTAATAGGAAGGCATTTAAAAGTTCATATTCCAAAAAGATCAAATTTTTCAGATTCTAAATAACCACCATTTCCCTATTACTGCAGAAAATTCCATTTTCTTACCTGGCTAATTGTTGGCAGCTTAGTCAGAAGCATCTGGAACACTGGTGATGGAAGAGTCTGCTGTAAAACTTGCAACAACTGCTGTGGCTGCCCACATACAGCAATGGCATTTGTCAAGTGGTCAACACCCTTTTCATATTCACCTATAAAGGAATTTTCTTTATGTAAATGCTTTTATGGAACCTACAAAGTCTTTTCCTTTAATTATAAACTTCAAATATAAAGCACTTCTTGCTATACTTTAAGTAGAACTCTTTTCTAAGACCTCATTCTTCATAAAATTCTATTATAATAAACCTCACGGGACAATACTATCCCAATTCTTTGAATATAGTGAAATATATCTGTTATATCAATTACATTTTGAAACAAGTTGGCAATTGGAAGGGACGAAGAAGTATGTTTGTTATCTAGAGATTGCTATTTGTTGTGATGAAACTTGTCAAGTTAAACCTAATAATTAAAACCAGAGTATAAACAGTATTTGAACTATAAATTTTAAAAATACAATTTTAATTATTCTTAAGTACCTAGTAAAACTTATCTGATAGTGGTTCATGGGAGGGGTCTGTTCTAAACAATAATTTAAGGAAAATTAATTAAATTGTTCCATATAACAATGTATATTAACATATAATAAATGTCAATTGTATAATGTATATGTAATTTCTGAAGTGCTTAAAAACTTACGCCAACATCCCTCACTCCATTTTCCCCCTGTTAATTCCCCTACCATAACTTTTCATGGCAGACTAATCTCATTTTCTTTTATAGATTTAAGAGGTGGAAAAGACCTTGGAAATGTAGTCAAACGCGTTTACGCTATAGATGAAGAAACCAAGTCTCAAAAGAGTTAATTACTTGCCATGGGTCTCACCGCTACTAAGTGTCTAAAGCAGAAGTCAAATTGGGATCTTCCAGAAGTCCATCCATTATATTAAACTCTCAAAAGAGTACTGTAGATGTATTTTAGCTAGATCATAGCAAAGCATTCAACAAAAGTCTGTCATGCTCTCATGTCTCTGAGAGATAAGTGGACCAGATAATACAGAATGGATAATGTAGTTGTATCAGAACTGGCCTAAATGGTCAGACCCAAAGAGTAATCACTGGTGGTTTAATGTTAACTTTGTTAGTTATTCTCTAGTACTAAAAGTCAGGAAGGCCTAAAGATCAAACTCTCATCTCAGAAACTTAGTCGTTGTGTGACCTCAGGCAATTCACCTAAATTTCTCACGATGACCTCACCTCATTAGGCCTTTTCACCTCTAAATTAATGATCCTATAAATATGCCAGGAATTTATGCTTGGTCTTGTGCTATTAAGTATCTTCACCAATGGCCAGCATAGTCACAGAATGTATTTATTAAAAAATTTAACTGACAAAGCTGAGACGAATAGCTAATACTTTGAATAAACTTAAAATCCAAAAAGTTCTCAAATGGCTACAGCATAAATTAAAATCCAGTAAGATTAAATGTAATGGGGATAAATGTAAATTCTTGCTCTCAGGTTTTCAAAATCAGCTTCACAAGTCTAGAGAACAGACTGACAAAAGAAGTCTGGGGATTTAGTCAACAATATGACATGGCCACTAAAAAACCTAATGCAACATTAGGCTGCATTGAGAGGTATATTATCCTCAAAACTATACCTCATTAGGTGATATCTAGCACCTTATTTATATTCAGTTTTTAGTGCTACACACTGATTGATAAGCTAAAAACCATTCAGAGGAAGATGGACTAGGATAGTACCTAGATCATGACACACAAGTACATCAGTGGAAGGAAATGAGAATGTTTAGCCTTGGAGGAGAGTTGGGTAGAGTCATATAAGCCGTTTTAAAAATTATTTGAAGGACTGTCACATGTAAGTTATTAGACTCATTCTGCTTGGTCCTAAAGGGCAAAAACTGTAGCACTGGTGTAAGCTGCAAACCAAATTTAGTCTTTACAGAAGGAAAAATTTGCTAACTATTAAACCTACCCAAAAATGTACTGGGATTATCATCTCAAGAGCTAGTGAGCAGCCTACTCCTAAGAGGCCTTCCAAAAAAGGCAAAAGAATGACTACTTATTAAGTGTTGTAGGAGACATTCCTGTTCAGCTATGGGGTTTAAGTCAGATAGCCTCTGGAATCTCTCAACTCTGAAATTCTGGCTTGACAGATCATACAAAGTTTATTCTGAATTTAATAAGATTTAAATGTGAACATAAAAATAATATGGCAATAGCCACCCAACCTGGCAGAATGCCAGACAGAAATGTGGAGCTCTGAAATAAAAGCTCATGACCTGCTCAAGTAAATAAAGGAACAGTGAGGTAGTATAGTGGAAAAAACAATGAAACCACAATCAAATAATTTCATTTTGAATCCTAGTTCTGCCACTTATTTTTGAGACCTTAGTAACGTCACTTTCTTTAGACATAATAAAATGAGAAACTGCCAAAGTCCCTTTAGCTCTAAAATATATGAGCATATGATCCACTATCCTCAGCTGAAAATGTTGTCTCCTAATTTCCCCAGAGAATTATGCCCTGACTTTATCATACTTATCTTTCAACTTGCTGCATCTCAAACAGATTGTGTCAATCAATAAGCATTTATTAAGTGCCGCAGAGGCTTTTAGAGTCTATGATTCTTCTTTTGAATTGAACATAATCATGAAAAAAATCTGATTCTTTTAGTGATACTTACCTTGGGCTAGTAACTCCTCACCAAGCTGTATTTCTTCAAGAAAGAACTTCTGAACAGCTTCTGCATCTTTAAGGTCAGGTAACTATAATGCAAAAAGATCTTAATTTAAGAAACTATCAAAACGAGTAACCAATATTTTTAAAAAACTATATTTCAATAAAATCTGAAAGCAAAATATTACAGAAAAGGTTATTCTCTAAAAAACAAAAATTTACTTTTCAGTGTTGCTTATAAGGAAGTTTCTTCAAATAGCACCTTTATAAATGGATTCAGAAAAACATACACTTATCACAGTTCTAAGAATAGTGCCACAAAAATATAAGTCTACTAATGTAATGAACCAGTTTTACACAGGAAAACTCAGGCTTCTGTTTGATCATTCATTTTTGCAGAATTAAAAACTAAGCTTTTAAAATTTATCACTACTTTCAAACACATTTAATGATGTAGAATATCAAACAGACCATTTGAAACTAGATAGTCAATTTAGGCTTTTAATTTAGGCCTTTTTAAAAAAAATTCTAAAAGCTTAATAATATTCTGAATGTATAAAGGGTTTTGCTAAAGGTTGATCATAACTCTACAAAACTATGACTTGAATGTAGTCAGCTGAAATCAAAGCATTTCTGATAGTGCATTTATTTTTCAACAGTTATACCAACCCAGCACAGGGAGATAAGACTATAGGCAAAAACTAAAATACTGATGTACTTAATTCAATAAACATTGAGTATGTAGTGTGTCCAAGGTATGGTGCTGAAAGTTGGGGATATAAAGATAAGTGACACAGTACCTGATGAAAGTGCCTAAAGTTCAAGTCCCATGTCTTTTTGAGAGGCCTTTCCGTTAGAGCCTTCCTAACCCCTAAAATCATCTTGTATTTAGTTTTTATACATCTTTTACTTACTTATTTGTGAACTAATTGCATCACCCAATAAAATACAACCTCCTTCACAGAAGGATTTCTTTCACTTTGGTATTTCTATCTTCTCAAGCACAGTGCGTGGTTGATAGAAAGCACTTAATAAATGCTTGTTGATTGACAAAATCTGTTTGAGGTGCAACAAGTTGAAAGATAAGTATGATAAAGTCAAGGCATAATGCTCTGGGGAAATCAGGAAAGAATCAGGAAAAGGTTCCACAAAGGCAGTACTTTGTACACTGAAGTTAAGCAGGGATGAGAGATCAGTCTACATAAACTCATGGAGATCAGGGCTTTTTCCAAGACTTAGTTCAAATCTCACATTCTACAGGAAGTCCTATCCCAGGTTTCCACTGCTCTAGGGCCATCTTCCCTCAGATTATCTTCTACCTACTCTGTATATAGGTGTACATAATTGAGTGCATATTGTCTTTTCCCATAGAACATGAGCCCTTGAGTGTAGGAACTTTGTTTTTGCCTTCCTTTCTCAGTCTAGTGCTTCAAACAGGGCCTGGCAAGCATTAGGCACTTAATGAAGAAAATATCAAGGGGAACAATGTGAAATAAGGCTAATAATAAGGCTGTACCCATATTCTAAGAAGTATATATAAAAGGCTAAGTTTTTATCTAATTCTTGAGGCAACAGGGAGTCAAGGAAGAACTGTGAGCAGAGAAATGCCACAGTCAAGTTTATATATCCAGAAGGTTATTTTGAAAGCTGTGTGGAAAAATGGATTGAAGGAAAACAGGGAACAGAGACAAAGAAAATCATCATAACAATAGTTCAACTCATTAATAAGAGAGATGAAGCAGGATGGTGGCAGTATTAATGAAGAGAAGAGGAAGGATGTGAGACGATGTGCAGGTACAACCAACAGAATATGACAGCACTGGTGGGACTGAAGATGTGGCTCAAGGAACAGAGTTGGGGAGAGAGGGAGAGACTGATTTGGAATTTATCTGTATAAAGAACATAACCAAACCTATGGAGATGGACCTAGGCTCAGAACCTTGGGAGACCAATTAAGAAGAGAATCAAGGAAAGAAAGACTATTCAGGATAAGGGGGTAGTCAACAATATAAAATGCTAACAAAAGTCTAGGGCAATGAGGACTACCTAACAAATAAGCTGTCATTGGTTATCTCTAGAAAACAAATACACTATACTAGTAGGGTTAGAAAACAGATTGTAAAAGATTAAGAATTGAATCCGCACTACTCTGATAGCTTAGCAGTATAAGGGAGGGGAGATATAAAGCTACAGTCTGAGGGATGGGTCAAGAATAGAGATTTTTAAAAATAAAGTACCTATATTCTTTTTTTCTTCTGTTTTGTCTTCTCTTTCTTGTGGTTCCTCCTCCTGTTTCTAATTCTTCCTTTCAACATGACTAATGTGAAAATGTTTAATAGGAATGTATATGTATTGCCTATGTCATATTAAACGCTGTCTTTGGGAAGGAGGGGGTGAAAAACACAGCAATGCAAGACAGCACATCGAATTCGGAGCACAACAAACAGTTCAATTTGGCCAAAATGATTATGTCAAAGGGAATGATGTGAAATTAAGACTGAAAATACAGGTTGGATCCAGACTGATGGTATCAAACATCAAGCTAGAAAGTTCCTACTGTACCTGAGGACAGGCAGCCACCAAGCATCTTTTTTTAAAATTGCTGAGTTACAAGGTCAAATCTATGCATGATCCCTGAGGATGAAGATGGGGGGAAGACAAGGAAAGAGTTATAAAAAGCAGGCAAGGTCATCTGCTAAGACAGAGAGGGTAGGAGTGGAGTTGGAAACTTGAGGACAAGCTGCTATGGGAAGTGGCCCAATTAAAATTACATAATATGAAGCCTTAATGAACCCAATATTCATCATTTCTTAACTAGCTCCAGCAATGATCAGTAGCTTGGCAGTAGTAGATGAAGATGGTGAGGCTGACCCAGTACTGAAGATGAGCAGAGCATGTTTCTATTATTTATCCCACTGATACTGAACAGTACTATATTGGTTACCTGCAGTTATACTTTTAAGTTCAGAAAAGGCTGGGGAGAATCTGAAATATTTTATTAAGTATAGGACAGCAAGCTTTCAAGAACAGGAAAAAATAAAATTAGAAGGGGCTAGGTTAGTCATTTATCCCATAACCTCTATCTTCAGGTAGGACTACATACAAACCATTTCAAATAACATAGATGTATTTTTAGTACCCTCAAAATAATAAATACTTGAATTCTCTTAACTTTATCAATGGGCAAAACATGTATGGTTTAGAAAATATCTTACTATATACCTAATTTTTTCATATTATAGTTTATAGCCACTTTTAAAGAAAGATGGTAATAATTACTCTCCTCTAACATTCGAGAATTTTAATTTGCCTTACAACAACGCTAGTCTTCTTCACACCTCTGTTGAAAACACTTCAGCAGGAATCTGATCACTACTAAATAATCACTTCCTAGGTTCTATGGATTATCCTCACATATTTACACCTTTGCTAATAATTAATAAACTGTGAAATAAAAATGGTGCTAACAAAAGTCAAAGCCTTCCAAGAAATCATTCTACTCTTGGCTTTGGTGGGAAAAGGAACAGGAGGGGAAGCAGAATAGTACTGCAGAATGTGTGCTGAATTGGGAATCTAAGGACCTAGGGCTTAAATCTCAACTATGACATTTACTACATGTACAGCCTTGGTTAAGTTGCTTAATATCCCAGGGCCTGTTTTCTCAGCTCTAAAAGAGCATTCTTGTCCTTCAACTCAAGTAAAACGAATTGGGATTTGAAAGAATTAGAAACTGTGAACAAGGCAAGAAACTGAATGGGGAGCAAGGGGAAAAGTTATCTGGGTAGATTTAGAAGTTGAAGGAATCAAGTTAATCAGCCTAAAGCAGGGGTGGGGAACCTGTGGCCAGGCCATATGTGGCCCTCTAGGTTCTCAAGAATGGGCCTTTGACTAAATCCAAACCTCAGAGAACAAATCCCCTTAATAAAAGGATTTGTTGCGTAAAACTTTGGACTCAGTCAAAAGGCCACACCCAAGGAACTAGAAGTCCACCAGTGTCCTGGAGGCCACAGGTTCCCTATCCTGACCTAAGGTTAAAGAAGAAATAAAGGAAAATAAAGATGCTAACATGAAAAAAAAAATGGGGTGGGGAAGGGAAACCACAAGAAGACCCAAAGCAATAGAAAAGATTCCTGAATTGTGTCAGGAGGTTGGAAGGTAGAAGAATGTAACAAAAAGAAATAGAAAGAATAGAAGGGGAAACAAAGGGAAAGATAAGCAATAGGTAAGGCTTTTCTCCAAAATAAGGGAGCTGAACCCTCTAAGGAGGAAGCAATGGCTCTTTTCCTCCAGAAAAAGATGACAGGAATCTATAAATGTTGTCAGGTTGGAGATCATCCAGTAAGAGTCAGAGGAAGAAGATGAAAAGTAATGTTTGGTAATTAAATGCTGAGGGTTAGGGTTACTACGTGTTGACCTGATGACAAGAGAGAGTTCTGCTAGTTTCTGAGTACACATATAATTCAAGTTGTGACAGAAAAGTTCCAAGACTTTTCAAGCTGGGAAGATTACTTACTACCAAATTCTGTTTATTCATATAAACAGATATAGCATAGCACAAATGACACTGCCACAAGAAATCTACAAAACATTGTTTAAGATAAGAAAGTCTTAGGTAAGAAACCAAAGGATCATAGTGGGTACAGACAATGTTTTCATAACTGCTACTAATCAAAGGCAAAGTCTCAGGAGAATAAGACAGATCTGGGAAGTGAACAGATGATAAAGAATATGGAATCCAAGAACAAGATTTGAATTCTGGACTGTAACTTAAAATATAGGAGTACACTTAACAAAGGCTCATACTTACCTAGAGTTCAGTAAATTAAGTCAAAAAGGCTCTTAAACTAAAAAGGGAAAAACAGAAAATTGTCGACCTATGTCTACCAAGCTATACGCCACAAGACAGAAAGAAGAGCTAGAGACACACCTACAAAAAGGACAACATTCAAGTCAACAGCCACTATAGCAAATCCATGACCTCAAATGTCTACCCACAAATACACAAGGAATGCACAAGGCAAAAACAGACATCCTCATAGGATAAGGCAAGTTTGATCTTATAAGACCAAAAAACTTAGACAGGTGTATGAAAATCCCAATAGGACTATAGCTCTGGAAGGGTATACTTCATTCAAGAAAGTGTAATTAATGGCCATCCATGGAAGTTTAAAAATTCCTTTTGTCATGAGGTTCTACAATGAAGGCTGAATGACCATCTATTGGACATGTTGCCTAATTCAAATAGAAATGATCTGTCTGTGGTATACTGACCTAGAAAACCTCAAATTAACATTATCTAAGTTTTATTTATGTTTATTTATTTTGTTAAACATTTTTCAATTACATTTTAATCTGTTTCAGGCAGGAAATTTTGCCAACCAGCTGTAAGAGTTTGACACTTCACATATTACACCATGATACTTCTCAAAACAAAAAATCACTATCACCATCTGCCTATGGAAAAATTTTTGTGAAGGAAAAAGCTCAAAAGACTCAATGTAATATGCAATGTAACCCCCCCAAACACATTTTATCCGATAAAAATTCCTTCCACACAGAATGACTGCCCTAAACTTGCAAACAAAAAAAGCAAAATTTAATGACTTGGATTTAATTTTTCTTTACTGAGCTCAACTTCTGGCAAAGATAACACTAAAAAGGGAGAGGAAAAAAAGGCCATATAGCAAGCTATCAACAAGACAGTATGAAGTAGTAACACTACAAAAGGCTTCAAAAATCAAAATCTGAGTTCTAAGCTCTAATAATTTAGGACCTCCTGTAATGCCTTGAGCAAGGGCTTGATTTGTCATTCACCTATAAAATGAGGCACTAGATGAACCCAGAGAATCAAATACATTTTACAGTCCATCTAGTTCAAATACCTTCATTTTGCAAATAAGGAAACTGAGGATGAGGAAAGATGGTTTGCTCAAAGTCACAAAGGTAGTAGAAGCAGATATGGGAGTTGAACCTGGGTCCTATGCACAACTCTAATGACTACTCCCCACAAAAAACGCTGATAAATGGATCCATGTTAATCCACCACACCAAATGTCCTTGTCCTCATCAACAATTTTTACTGATGACCAAACAAGCATAGATGGAATGCTTACCAAATGTATAGACAGACAAAACTGACAGATAACAGAATTAGCATTTATAGCTAGAAAGGGTCTCACAAGTCATCTAACCCAAACCCATCAATTTTTGAAAGGGGAATACTGACAAGTTGAAATGAAGAACTGAAATTGGTATGACAAATTAAATCAGGACAAATCTAAAGTCCTGCTTATTTTAGTACTTCAAAGATCTGTGCAGTTCATCAGTATAAGTGCTCCCTCCATTAATGGAGTTTGCTAGGCTGATGCTCAAAATTAAAGATGTAATATATCAACAGGATCTGAAGTCTTTCCAGCTTCACAGGACTTGCCAGAGTTAATACTGCTGGTACAGCCTTTGGAAAGTCAGAAGCAGCATCACTATGATATAGTAAGACATCCAAGTAGTAATTTAATGGAGGATAAAGTCCCACACTGAAGTTAAAACAAACAAATGCACAACTATGGCCCTAGTCTAAATAGATGATCATATATAAAAGACTTGTGGTTTCAGGTCAGTCTTTAAATGACCGAAATGACTATTTCTAAATACCAAACTATACTTTGATATTACTATGGAAAAATTTTATATACAATACCTTGAAATATCTCCATTCCTAAAAAATATATACATTTAAATGTATTTTAAAGTCTATTTTAATACATTTTTACATAACACAGTCTGTATAAATACAGGTTATTGGCATTACCTTGGAAAGCCCAGCTCTCTCTTTAGCAAGCTTCTGTTTCTTTCTTCCTGCAACAGATTTAATACACGTTCACTTTATGATCAATGAAAATAGTGATTAAACAGTAGTGGTTGAATGTTTAAAGGTATAATCTGTTACTTAAAGCCTCAGTCTCCTCATCTGTAAAATGAGGCTAAGAGCTGCAAAAACCTACCTCACAAGGTTAACATCAGAGAGTATAACATAATATGAAATAATTTTACTGTTCTACCAACTTGAGGTATTACTTTAACTCATATGTTCTTTTAAACAAATATTAAAGATCACAGAGAATGATTATGTTCTTGAGCTAAGATGTATGTCTCTATGAATATATTCTATAGAATTCTCTTCTTTCTTTGACCTATCCCAGCCATAAAGTCAAGATGTAACCACAGTATAAAGTGAGTTACATATACCATATTCAACACTGACACATAGACACTAAACAGCCAGGTTTAAATATCATTTGATAATGCCCAAAGCAATATTAACCTAAGTAATATAATTAGTTATGCAAAGGTTATATATTAAGAGGTTACCAACGTCACAATAAGACTGACCCTGAGACTAACTTGAAAGAATAGTAAATAGATAAGCTATTATCTATTTAGTAGTAGGTAAAATACTTAGTAGTATTTAATAGCACAGACAAGATTTCATAGTTCACAGGCTAGTTGGGGAGGCAAAAACTAGCATATCTGATAGATTATTCAAGTCAAACAAGCAAAAATAAACATGATTTTTTTTTTTGCAGAACTACAAAATAAGGTTACTTGAACCAACAGACACGACTTTTAATTGAATAGACAAGGCAGTGTAAAAGTCCATTAGAATGAAACTTAAATCCCAGTGTCTCTGGCTCCTGTAACTGCATAACATGAAATTTTGGTGGGTTATTTGGGTTTGGGAAATGGAGAAGGAGCTGCTTTTAATTGACTATTAATAAAAGCAATCTATTATACTTCTTTCTACCCTTATTTCAAATTTTTAGAAATAAAAATTTTGGCTTCAATATATAAGGAAATATTAAGATAAATAGAAAACTCCAGTGGCTTTCTATTATGCTAAGATCAAACATAAACTCCTTTGGCATTTAAAATCAACAACCTAACTCCAACCTAGTTTTATAGCCCTATTATTCATTAATTTCCTTTATATCCTCTACAAACCTGCCAAGCTGGCCTTCTTGCTGCTCCTCACATGACATACTCCCATTTCCTGTCTGTGACTTTGCGCTGGCTGCTCTTGATGCCTCCTTCCCAGGATCCCTAATTTTCTTCAGAACTCACTTTAAGGATCACTTTCTATGAGTCCAACCAACTGCTAGTGCACCTCCCCCACTCATTACTTTGTATTTATTTTATATATACAAATATATATCCATGTCTTCCCCAAAGGAATATAAGCTCTTAGGAAGCAAGGATTGTTTCATTTGTCTCTGAATCCCCCATGCCTGGCACATGAAGGAGGTGCTAATTAATACAATTTGAAATTGTTACATTACTTTCAAATATTCTATCATTATATCTCTACCCACAAGTAGAGACAAATGTTAAACTGAAAAACCAGGAATGAACACCTAAGTTACTGGCTTGGTCATTGCAGTCAAGATTAAAACTCAGATGCAGGATAGTAAAGGACAAAGAGCAGTGGTCCTGAAGTCAAAGTACCTGCCTCTGAACCTTATAAGTTACATGACCTTAGTCAAGTCATCTAATCTCCCTGGACCTCAGTTTTCTTCTCATCTCTAAGATGATGGAGCTGACCTAGATGGCCTCTTACAGCTTTATATATCTTTTGGATAACTCATGAAATAGCTAAAATTGGAATGATTCACACTACAAATTTACTACAGTGTAGATAAAAATGTGAAAGCTGGCTGAACTGGATGTTTCCAATTAACTGAATAACAGAAATAGTTAATATGTATTGTTCTAAGGCTAACAAAGCTTTTACGCATATTATCTCATTTGAACTTCACAACAATGCAGTAAAGTGGTTACCTTTGTCCCCATTTTTTAGATAAGGAAACTGAGGCTGACAGAGGCTGACTTGCCAAGGAACACAGAACTTGAAAGTTTCCGAGGGTAAAATTAGAACCCAAGTCTTCCTGACTCCAGGTCCAGCAATCTGTCCATTATACCACCTAGTTAGCTCTAAATGATTCAATTTACGCAATTTGAAAACACTCAATGAATTCAATAAAGTGAGAAACTCCCATGTAGCAATGCTCATAAGTAAGAATTTAAATATGGGCATTAGGTAATGATTTAATTAGGTAAATTTACTGATACAATGAATTTGAACAATGCCTATCTAAAGTCAACACAAATGTTTATGTTAACATGTTAATGAGGCTGGCTAAACAAACTGTAAACTATTTGCCAATCTCCTCAACTACAACTTTTTATCAAGAATACAATCTAAAATGACTAATTTTAGGCATCTTTGATCTCAGGCACAAGGCCACAGGAATACACACTCAGGATTTAGATGTAAAGAAGAATTTTATTACCTAGTGCATTGTCTTCTTCATTTTACAGATGAGGAAAATGAATCCCAGAGATGTCATACCCTAGGTCACACAGTAAGCAGCAGGGCCAAGATTTAAATAATCCTAGGCCTCTGGCTACAAAAACAAGGGATCTTTCCAATACACTATACATCGGCCAAATGAAGTAATGTAAATATCAGAAATAATGAGGCATATATAATCCAGTTATCCCTCCTAAAATAAGTTTTATCTTGCAAAATAATGATTGTTTAAAATGGCTTGTTTCATTTTTACAACGGCAAGTAGATGGCAAAGTTATCTCATAAATAAAACATCTTAGGTAAAAACGAAGCCTGACTACTCCAAATTTCCAAACTTAGAAAGGAGGTTATCTTAGATTTAAAATTATGGCAATGGCTTTTCTCTCCCATGGTGTATACCCAATTCTGCCCTTTTTAAAAAATGAAAGTATTTCTCATAAGATGTTTAACTTCAAACTCGTACTATCTTTTAAAAGAAGTCAACTAAAATTCTGTAGCACAACCATTAACTCTAAATATCTAGGTGATGGCACAGTGAATATAGTACTGGGCCTGGGGTCAGGATACCTAGAGTTCAGATTCAATCTCAGACACTACCCTGTGTGACCCTGGACAAGTCACTTAATCTGTTTGCTTCAGATTCCACAACTGTAAAATAGAGATAACAGCAGCACCTACCTCACAGGGGCATTTCGAGGATCAAATGAGATAATATTGTTGAAGCATTTAACACAGTGCTTGGAACACAGTATGTGATTTATAAATGCTTATTCCCTTTCATTTTCCTTCCCCTCTTCTCTGGCCTTTCTTCAGTTCTTCTATGTAAAAAAATTCTTCCCTGTTTCTTCAAGGTGCCCACCACTACCTTTATTAGGGCATTCCCTAAGGAAAAGGAGGTGACAGCTTTAAAACAGAAAAGACTTCAAAATGGGACAAGGGGTAGAAAAACATTCTACTGATGTCCAGCCTTTCCTCAACTTAAGTTTTTAAATCTTTATCTAGGTTATAAACACTCATTTGGATAAACCCTGCCCCTTCCCCAAAAGAATGTAAAGTTCTTGAGGTCAGGGACTGTTTCTTCTGCGACTTCCTAACCTCACTCCCAACACTATGTGTGAACTGTTGAAATGAATAGAATGCGGTATGTTAGAAAGCCAAAACTATCCTGGTTTGGCTGGAATATCTAAAGAATAAGGTGAACTAAGGCAGGAAGGTAGTGTGGTTCTAGATTGGGGGAAAGTAGGGGAGCAGGGTTCCAAAGACAAAGGAGTTTTCATTTTACCTGACAGGCAATGAGGTGACACTGAAGAGTTAGAAACAGTGACAAAACTATAGCTATGCATAACAATTATAAGTGGCATGAAAGATCAACTGGAACGGGGAGAGTAGACAGAAAAAAACTCTATTACGACACTACTGCCAATTGGCAGGTGGTAACGAAGGCCTGTACTACAATGGAGGCAATGGAAACAGACAAGATAGCAGCTTTCAAGATCCGCTCAATTTGGTTAACTGTGTATGAGATGAAAATTAGTACCAAGACAAAGATAATCCTCAGATTTCAAACACAGAAGACTTGGTGAAGGGTGGTAACACAAAAAGAAACAAAATGAGAAATAAGGGCGGAAATAAGGAGGTAAATATTATATACTAAATTATGTATATATTGAATTTTAAGTACCAGGAAGACATTCAAATGGAGATATCCTATAGGCAGTTTGGAGATGTGGGTCTGGAGAACAGGACTGAGGATTTAGATTTGGAGTTAACTTCATTGAGGTGATAATTGAAGCCATAAGAGTCAAAGATTTCAGAACAGCATTGAATATGGCCAGAGAAGACAACCAAGACAGTGGTTTGGAGAATAAACACATTAAGGGGATAGAGAAAAGAATGAACAGCCAGTAAAGCCATTAAAGAGAACAGAAGATAATCAAAGGAATGTAGTACCACCAAAGACTCAATGGTGTCAAAAACTAAAAAGGGGAAAAAAGGGCACTGAACTAATCAAATCATCGTTCTTCAATTCAGGAGAATGGTAAGGGTAGGGCAGACAGCTACAGACACTGGACACAAGAGATTTGGGTTCCAGTCCTAATTAATGGGCAATTACTTAACTTTTCTAGGCCTCACATTCCCCAGATCTAAAATGAGAGAGCTGTATCTCTTGAAGTCCCTCCTTACTCTAACTTCACAAAATTCAAAATTACCTTTTCTCTACCATTTACACAAAAGTCTGTATATAGTCTTCACTTGGTCCAGGGGAAGAGGTGCAAAAAGGCAAAGTCAGGGAATCTAGCACAGTGCCTAGCACATAGTAAGCACTATATAATTGTTAACTATTATTATACACTATAAGATTTGGATGATTTTGCTGAACTGTTTCTCCTACTCCCCTTCCCCCCTATCCCTACCTTTGTCTTTTTAAATGTAAGTTGCTAGGTAACATGGGGACTGCTGAATTTGGTGTCTGGAAAGGAGTTCAAATCCTGCCTCAAATGGGTGTGTGACCATGAAAAAACATTTGGCCTCTCTCAGCCTCAGTTTTCTTATTAGTAAAATGAAGATGATAATAATAGCACCCATCTGGTAGGACTGTTGTGTGGTTCAAATGAGATACCATGTGTAAAAAGTGTCTTTGCAAACCTTAATGTTAAAAAAATAAAAAAAGACAAATGAAGCTTTTTTTGGGGGAGGGGGATGGAGGTGGTCAAGACTTCTGTTTTCAGTTCAAAGAATTCAAAAAGGGAAAGTGGCCATTTCTCAACTTGTTTCAATGTGGTAAGTTTATTCGCCTAGTTTTAGAACTAGGGCGGAAAATCTTGTAGGCATGAACTCCAGTTATTTAGCAAGTGAAAAAAGGATGTTTGTAGAAGGTCCTTTTAACTACTAATAATTCAAAGGTTTTAAAGTACTGAAAAGCTATTTTTTGTATGCAAACTTAAAAAGATTCTACTCAGAATCAAATGAAGCTTCCTATTTAATGGGCCAAGAAGTTTTCGACAAATCTTCAACCTGTGGAAACAACTAATCTGCCGAGCCCCGACCCCCCCCCCAAAGTGCTAACAAATGTGCCTGAGAAGTTGCCAGTTTGGGAGGGGGTTTGGGGGGGAGGGGAAGATGATAGAGAAGAATTAACTATGGAAAATAGCTGCCCTCATCTTCACAAAGGGAAATCAATCCTGCCCTAGAAGCTGCAAACAAATTATGATCTTTCAAAATTGTCTGCCATTCCCATGATTCAGTGACTCACATTCCTACCAAATGAAGTCCAATGATCTCATCAACTTTACACTTAAACGCCTTTGAGACAGTTTTAAATGAAAAAAAGTCACGTTCAATATTTTTTTAAAAACGTAACTTACAAACAAATCTAATGTTGCAAACGTAGATACCCCCAAATTAAATCCGGCTAGCAAACACACCATCATCTCTAAAAATTGTCAGATGCGAAATAATGCCAAGTCAGAAGAAAATACTTAGCATTTTGGATTAATCTGTCTGCAATTTTCTGTCGCATTCACTCATATCTTGGAAGCGTCTTCAGCAATGCTACCAAGAGGGTTTAAGAATGCTGTTGGACACTAGCGAATTCCTGAACCTCCTATTCAGCTCCCACGTTACCTGCAGAAATGCTTGGCTGTGCTAGGCCTCATGGCTACTGGGAGAAACGAGGGCAAAAATCACCTGGGTTGACCAAGTAAAGAAATAAGGATGAAAAAAAAAAAACCAAAAATCGACAAGAGGCCTGAAAACTAAAGGCAATTCCAGATGGAGTCAATACTGCCTGGAGTGGGAAAGAAACGATGGACTGGAAGAAATTCTAACCTTTCAAAAGGGTAAAAGGATGATTGAAGCCTGGAAAGATAAAATCAGACCCCTCCCTCCCCGCCCCCGACCAAGGCTTAATCCACTCCACGCCTTCGCCCCACCCACGCACGTGGGACCCTCCGAGTCCCAAAAAGCCCGGCCAGGAAGCTGCCTTGTCCTTCAGAGGCAAACGCCCATAGTAACCTTGACCTCGGCGGCCCAGCTCCTTCCACTGCGCCCACCCCACGCCCAGGTCGGGGCCTCGGCAGAAGGGCGCGGGGCCCACCCCAGGAAGTGGGCAGGAGGGATCCCAGAGGAGGAAAGGGTAGGCTCCGGGGGGGGGGGGGAATCGTGGAGCGTGCGTCACCCGCCGCGGAAACCCCCAAGAGGCACGTGCGCGGAAGGCAGGCCGGGGCGACGAGCACGGCCCCAGTTAGCTAGGGTGTGCGTGGGGCTGCGGAGAGCGCTAGGGCGCGCGCCCGCACAGCAAAAGAGTTTGGTGGGGCAAAGGTAGGCGCGGGGCTGGGGGGTGGGGAGGAGAAAGGTGTGCGAGCTGAGGACCTGGCAGTAGGAGGGGGCGGGGACCCACTCACGCTCTCGGAGCCTGTTCTTGAAGTTGGGGTCGCTCCGTCTCTTGCGGTCAAAGTAAATACAGTAGCCGATGAAGAGGGCCCCGCACACGCCGGCGGCGATCGCGCCGCTCCGGCCCACCATGTTTCCGGCTACTGCTAGCGGTGGAGGTGGCAGCAGCGGCGCCGTCCCCCGCTGACCCCCAAGCCAGGAGAGTAGGCTCGCTCTGCTCCAGTCGAGGGCGGAGACAGCGAGAGAGGGGGAGGGGGAAGGACCCTTCGGCGCCCCACTTCCGCTCTGACGTCGTAAAAGAGCGACGTTCTCTAGACGTCTAGGGCAGAACCTGAGGAGAAAAGGGCTAAATGTTTTGTCCCGCGCATGCGTGGCTGAACTCGGCCCTACCACGTGGGACAAAGTACGCGTTCTAACCGGAGCGGGATATGTTGCAGCTGGTGAATAAAGCGCGTCTTTGCCTTGCGTTTAGGTAATTCTCTAGATAAACATTTGTTAAATGAATGAATGGTAGTGTTTTCTGGAGCAGATATAAGCTCTTAACGAAGGCAGGCACTTGAAGTGGTCACTAAGGAACGCTGCGCCCTGGGCAGGGCTGGCATTGAAATGACCTCCCGACCCCGCCCACCCTGTAGGGACTCTGGTTTTCTCCTTGACGGAGGCCGCCCTACCTTTAGTTCCAGGCTAGCACTGGACAACTTAATTTAAACAGATCTTACCTGAAAAGGGCAACTTCTAACTACTTCTCTGGGCCTCACTCAGCTTCCTCATCTGTAAATGAGTTCCCTTCCAGCTCTCCATCTGTGGTCCTCAAGACCTTCCACAGTTTAGCTCCAACTTATTTTACATTCCAGATTTGTTTCATCTCACTCTCCTTTACCTATTCCGCCTTCATTCACATTCACAATGTCTCCCTTGTATCTAATGTAGGTATCAGACTCAAATAGAAGCAGGGCTACTAAACCATAAATAAGGATCCCTGTCAGTCATATATTGACTTAGAAAACCACATATTAAGATAAACTGTTTTATTAAATTTTTTTGTCACAATTGTCAAATCAAAATTACATTTTCATCTGGCTTGGGCTTGTACTAGAGGTGTTGCGTGACTATGTGGCCTATGTTTGATGCTTCTGCCCTAAGGTATTTCCATTTCTTTGATTCTCATAATTCTCAGAAATCATAGACCCTGCTAGAATTTAAAGGCAGCAGTAGAGATTATCTAAGCCCTTCTCTTTACAGATGAGGAACCAGCCCTGAGAGGTGGCTTCCCTAGGGAGTGGAAGCTCAAGGTTACTTCTGCATTAAATGGGAGAGCTAGGATTGGGAGTCACGTTGCTATTGATACCAAAGTCTCTTTCCACTACATCATACTGATAACTGTCTTTCCAATTCACAAAGGTTCTGTTTCTTCTCTTAATTACCACTTTTTCCCCAGGCACAAGTTCTGTTTCCCTGTTCAAATTACCTTTTACTTACATATATACATGTTACATCTGCTAGTACCACCTTTTCACCTGGTGGACCCCTAGCACAATATAAATCTCCTTATAGGCAGGAACTGTATCCATGGCACCTCTTTGAATGCTTAATGTATGCTGAATTAAATTAAATTCTAATTTACTTTTAAACCTAGGGAATCTAGCTTCATCCCATGCCCTAGTTTCAAACATAAAAAAAGTCTATTTCTAAATTAATATTTGCAATCACAAGGACGAAAGAAGTCTCTACAAATTGTTTTTGGGTTTTTTGGGGGGGAGGGATTCCCCTTGCCTCCATTCTGACTTGAGTTACAAAAGTACTACCATAAGTTAATGCTGTAGACTACACTAAAGAGCCATATGACAATGGTCCCTACCTTCAGAGAGTTTATAATTCTCCAAATGACATTGCACCCCTGGTCACCACCATCACCAGCTGCATTTTCATATGCCTCCCCTCCAGGTGTACAAAGCATAGGTACTTTAAAATGCTTGTTTCCTTCCTTCTCTTAACCTTGATCCTATAGTTCAAGGGTTCTACACTGTAATTGTAATTCAAATCTACACCATCCTCTTCCTTGCCCCCTTATTATTGTGATGCTCATGTTTTACTAATCTCAACTGTGGACCACTTTTACCTCTGTCTCCACTGCTACCCATGTACTGCTCAACAGAATGGAGGAAATCAGGCAAACAAGTCTGCTGAGTCCAGTATACATCTGTTATCTAATTTTTCATGATTCTTACAGATTCTCAATCCCAATCCCCACAGCACCTATTCCAAACCTAAATAGAGACCATTTTCCATGAACTTTCTCTACAACTCAAAACCCCTTGTTATTCTTGACTCCTTTTCTCCTCTTCTAAATAGGAGCCACTTTTCACCAAGGTCAATTCCTCCAGGTATAACTTTGATTCTGTCCCTTTTGTCTTCTCCAGGTGACCACCCTCACAATTATCCCATCTATCTCTCTAGTCTTCTACCTCTCCCTGTTTATCTGTTCTTTCCATACTGCTCACAGACACACTCAAGTCTCCACCATTCTCTAAAAACCTTACAATATCTTACCAACCCCTCTATCATCTTCATCTCTTTCCTTCTGGTGAACTCCTAATGAAAGCTATTTACACGCATTGCCTCCATTTCTGCTTCTCTTACCAGCTTTTCAACTCCCTGTAATCTGGCTTCCTCCTACTTTTGTCACTCAACTAAAAGTGCTCTGTCCAAAGTTACAAATGATCTCTTAACTACTGCATCTAATGGCTTTTTAACTCAACTTTCTTGAAATCTCTGCAGCATTTGACACTGTTGACAACCTCCTCCTAAATATTCTTCCCTCTTAGGGTTTTCATGACACTGCTTTCTCTTGATGCCCCAACATTTCTGACCACTCCTTAGTCTCTTTTTCTGGATCATCATCTATGTCATGACTTCTAACTGTAGATATAACCCAAGGCTCTGTCCCAGATCCTCTTGTCATAATAATAATATTAATAACTAGCATTTATGTAATAATTTAAGGTTTGCAAAGTGCCTTACAAATAATCTCATTTTATTCTCACAAACACCCTAGAAGACAGGTGCTATTATCTCCATTTTACAGATGAGGAAACTGAAGCAGACAGGTTAAGTGACTTGCCCAGCTGGTGTCTGAGGCCAGATTTGAACTCAGGTCTTTGTGACTTCAGGTCCAGTGTTCTATCCCCTGGGCCAACTAGCTGTCACTATACTCTCAATTAACTTCATTGGCTTCCATAGAACAAATTAGCACTTCCATACAAATGGCTTGTATATTCAGGTTCAATTTCTCTCTTGAGCTCCAGTCCTCTATCACTAACTACTAGACATTTTCAACTAAATGTCCCATAGATATCTCAAAGTCAATGTCAGAAACTGAATTCATATTTCTCCCCAACCTACTCCTCTTCCAAACTTATCTGTTAAGGGCAGGGGTGGGGAACCTGTGGCCTCCAGGCCCTCTAGCTCCTCAGTGCAGCCCTTTGATTGATTTACTTTTTCAGTGATTCAGTCATCTAAGGGATTCAGTCAAAGGGCTGCACTTGAGGATCCAGAGGGCTACATGTGGCCTAGAGGCCACAAGTTCTTCACTGCTGGTCAACCCTTCATCACCTACAGTCTCAGCTTCACCACTGTCTTTGACTCCTAACTCTTCCTCCTATTACATGTGTAAACTGTTGCCCAATCTCGATTGTACTCCCATATCCATTTCTCTATTCACATAGCCACTCCCCAACCCTCCTAGTTCAAGCCTTCAGCATCTCTTACTTGGGACTATTGCAATAGCTTCCTAATTTTGCTCCCTGCTTCAAATATCTCCCCATTCAATCAATACAGGGTTATGAGAAAAGCATTTTGTATCCTTTAAAGCAAGCACTATGGAAATGAAGTTGATATTATTCAGTAGATCATAACTCTGGTAAGTGCCTCTTCCTCTGTAGAAGAAAATTGTTCTCCCTTTTGAAGGTTGTATGTTGTAAAGGGATTCTTCATTACTCCAGTTCATCCACTTGTTGACTTATAAGTGCAGAGAGACTCATGACATCTTAAGATATCTAATCATCCTATCCATGGCAAACTCAAAGGACCATAGATTTAGAGCTCAAAGGAACCTTAGAGGTTGAGTCCTTTTAACAGATGATGAAACTGAGGCCCAAAGAGGTTAAGTAACTTGTCATAAAGTGCTTTGGTAAGGATCTGAACCCAGATCTTTCTGACTGCAAGTCCAGAGCTCATTTACCATACCATGGCTGTTATACCATGATTGTATATAAACATATATACTACCAAAAGTATCACATAATCTGTGTTGAAATACACCTGAGGCCATAACCAAACAAGGATCCCTTCTATAATGGTCAACAATTGCTAACATTTACGTAGGGCTTATTATGTGCCAAGCAATGTGCTAAGCATTTTACATTTATCTCATTTGAAATATTATCTCAAGTTCTTTTACTTTGGCTTCTTTCTAGCTGGTTACAACTTAGTGATCAAAGAGTTTTTTGTTCCACTTAAAAAGTCAGCAACCCTACAGGACTCAAGATCTATCATCAAAGGGAATACAGAAACTGGTTTGTCATTTTTAAAAGTTGCCATACAATACTTTTTATAATATAAATTAACTGCTACTCTGCATATTATCATGAAAAAAACACTAGACAAGAAGATCTGGCTTTGAATCTCGACTCAGCTTGAAAGCAACTCACTAGCTGTGTGATTATGAGTAAGCCAGAAACTCAGATTTTAACATCAGTTTCTTCATTCATGATGATGATCACAAATGCATTTCTGCTTTACATGATTATTGCAAGGAAAAGGAATACAGATAGTTATGTTTTTTTAATGAGTAAATATTGTGTCAGGAAAGTTGAGAAAATCACTTAACCCATAAGCATGTGATTTCAAAAGGTTTGTGGTTTTCAAAAGATTTGTGGTATTCTAAAGTATGATTTTTATTAAATTTGACAAATTTTCCCCATACGAACCATCTCTAATATTAGCTAATCAACCAGCATTTATATAGTGCCAATCACTGTGCTAAATAAAACATTTACTTTTTAGCCAATTTTAATAATATTCTATTATTGTTTTTAATGAATAAGAAATTAAAGCATAATTTCTAATATTTGGTTATTAAAAATTAGCTAGCTCATTTTACAGGATTAGAATAACAGTAATAGAGTCTGACATATAGTAGCTATGTGATTATGCTAAGTCACTGAAACCTCCAGCCCCCCAGGGAACATTTTAAGACTCTTGAAGTTTCAGGAATTACCAATCCCTATCAGTTGTAAAGTGTCTACTTTGAGGAGGTCCCTACACAAATAAAACAGCAGATGCATATCAAAAAAAATATGCAGAACATTATGCTGGAAAGAACACTGAAAAAGCATGCAACTAGAAAAATATCACTTACCATGATAGAAATAAATGCTATATTAAATCACAGTCCTTCCTTTTGAGGAGCTAACTCTATGTTAAATCTTAAAATATGCTGCTTGTCCAGATTTCAATACCTTATTTATAAATTAACAGTTCTCACATTTATTAAATAAAACACAATTTTATTAGCAAATTATCCAACAACTAAAAAAAGTCTCAGACTGACTCTCTATTTGTGTTTTTCCATTTGCTTTTTAATTTTTCCACTTTTCTGCCATTTCTTTTTCTTTTTCAAGGGATTAGCTTTTTCTCCAGCAAATGTATTTTTGGAATGCTGTCCTGTACTTTTAGGAGGAAAATTAAGTTTGTGCTTAAATTTGGTGGAATTCTCCAAAACTCTGCCTGTAGTATGTGATGGTTTAACCTTTTCGTTATTAACATAACGCTTGACCCGTAGTTTTCTTCCCATTAATTCAGAGTTGTTTAATCTCAAAGCAAGTTGTACAGCATCAGTATTCTGAGGAAATAATTCAAAGATTAATTACTACCAAACAAGATTTCATGCTAAACTAAACATGTGTACGGAAACGAAGTAAATAATTTTAATGTACTAGAGCAGTTACTTTTTATTTTTAAGGCTACAGAATCCATTAGTTTGTTTTTTCTGGCCACCCCTAAAATCCCACCCAACAGATATAGCAGGAGGAGAATCTAAAAATAACAAGGCAGGGACTTTAAAGATCAAAGTGTCTAGAAGAAATACTATAATGGTTGTATGGCCTTAAGTCACCAGGCCTCAGTTTCATCTATAAAATAAGGGCGAGTTATGTTATAATGCCTTCTATGTCCCTTCTAGTTCTGTAATTTTCTGATACAGTGTAGTTGTAGATGACATATTTTGTTCGAAGCCCAAAGCTTACTTATAAGCTAATGCGAAGTTTTATTTCCATTTTTCAAAATGGAAAACTGAGCCATAAATTCACACTTTTTAAAATTTAAAAAATGATACAAATAAGTATTGTCAGAGATAGACTTTAAACATTACTAGGAAATTTTTTTGTCAGAAAAGTATTTGTTGTAATGGTCCTCATTATAATGGGGTTTGAACTGCATTATTTTTTCCTAATACAGAATTTGAGATGGAGATTTAACAATATAAGGCTGAGCACTAACCCAGTATTATTTTCTTTTAGCTAATCTTCAAATATTTATAATGCATTAATCTTCATACCTCAAAGAGCACATAGCCACACCCTTTGCCAACACCAGTAACTTTGTTTCTCACAATTTTTACTGCTAAAACGCTTCCACAGTCAGAGAAGTGCTCTTGAATAGCAGCCTCTTCAATTTCTGCAAGCAAATTCAATGAAACAGGTTAATAATTTATTACATTAAAAAAAATTTTTTAAAGGATATCTAAACCAAAATTTATTTTAGTACATTTTCCTGTAAGTTAACATTTTCATTATAAGTCAATTTTAAATCAAAAATTTAGTCAATATTTATTTTTTAAAAAAACCTTTTTCTTATTTTAATTTATTCTTAATTATTCTAGAGATAAAATGTTAATTTGAACAGTTGAAAAAAAAAACTTACTGTAAGGGAGGTTCCCCACAAACACTGATCTCTTGCCCCTCTGAAACAAAAATTTGAGTTTAATGGGTTAATGGGGGTGGGGGTAGGGAAGAATATAAAAGCCAGAAATAAAATCAAGGGATATCTATATAACCAGGACTAGTATTGAATGACATAGTTCTGCTCATATAGCTAGAAAGCACTTCTAGCACTACTACAACTCTGAAATGGAGACCAAGGTCAAGACAAAATACCTGTGTCATTTTGTGCCTTCTTCTAAATGTCACTTTTAAAAAGTATATTAAATAGAATTCAGCAATTTTAAAAATACAATCTTAACTTACCAAAGGAGTGTCAGATATAAGTTCAACTCTGATGGGAAATCCCTCTGCAATCTGAGCACCATTTCTATTAAGGATATGAAAAAGATGGTTATAAAAAAGAAATGAAGAACAAATGACAAAGATTGTCTAAGAATGCCAAAAGAAAAGACAAGATTTTACTTTAGAGGTAACAGATCAAAATATAAAATTACCTTTTCAGGGCCTTTTCAGCAGCACTCTCTTCCTTAAAAACAACATAACCATTAATACTCTTCTGTTCAGGATGAACTTCACGTCTTAAAAAAAAATGATAATGGAATTTTTTTTTACTTTGTAAAATATAAATACATGTACATGCTCCTATTCCTTACCCTTGGTCAACACTCAATAAACAACTATTCCCAAAATAAATTGTTTCTTTATATAAATATGTAAAAATAAATACAAAGAGACTATTCAAATTGTGGGACAATAATTTAAACAGATAACCTGTCCTTACAAATAGCTACTGTACCAGAAAACTGGTAAATTGTCTCTGTGACTCTTATCCATGGAGAGTTCCAGGACACTGGAATTTAAAACTGGTGAGCCAGACTCGTAATAAAAGCCTGGAATAACGACAGGTATGACATTTAAGCAAATTAAGTTGGCAACAGTTGCTGAACCTGACTGAATACAGAGAAGAAATCTGTAATAGAGGTGACAAGATTTCAAGACATTCCAGGATCAATTTTCATTGAGAAGAATCTAAGGAATGAAAAAATAAAAAAGCACCTATCATATGACAGTGTTAGGCACTAAGGATACAAATGCAAATAAGAATTAGTTCCTGGCTTCCAGGAGCTTACAATATTCTAGCAGAAAATGACAACATACATAGGGGAGCAATGGCCAAGGAAGAGTTTGTGACACTGGAAGTCATACGGAAATACATTAGTGGAGCCAAAAGGTAATTGATTCTTATGTCCTTCCCAGTATCAGAGTAATATTGATGTGATTACTGTCTCCAGAGTGTTAGAAAGGGAGGGTGGGGAAAGAGAAGAGGCAGAGGTGGCACAATGCCCAGAAAGGCCCTGATTTTCTAGTGGATGATTGGATGGTATATGAAGCGTGACCAAGGACTAGCTAGATATAGAATATGAGTTGAATTCTATTCCAGTAGAATAGAAAAGATTAAAGACAGTGCTTCTACAAAAAAAAAAAGCTGGAAGGAGGGAGACACAAAAGAAGACATCATCAACTACTAACTCATATATGTCTGTATTCTCATCTCTATAAATTTTTTTCTACGATTGTTGTCTATTGAAAGGTAGCCTCGATGAAAACATAAATGGGACCTAATAGCCTTTCTTTCACAGATGATTTTCTGTATCACACCCCAGCTTTACACTCACAGAACCAAGAATAAAGAATATAACACTTCACTATTTCAACTGCTTATTGATTTTTAAAAAGCTCTTTCTCTTGTAGAACCAAAGGCTGCCTCAATGGCTCTCCTCAAGTGTCTGCCATATAAAAATAAATATACTGCCTCTATAACAAATATGACTATAGACATAATTTTGTTCAATGATCCATTTCAGTTTAACGTGAAAACAAGCAAATAAGTTCTTATTCACAAATAACATTGTATTAATTTCACCAAACCCCAGTACAGGGAAAAAATCCTTAAAATCCATAGCAATACAAAAAAGAGATTAGTCTAACCATCCACACTGAATGAAAAATGCAACACTCAGATGAATCTATTAATCAGTTAGTATTTATTAAGCACTTAATATGTACCAGGCACTGTGTTAAGTGCTAGATGTAGCTTTAAAGGTATATTGAATTAATCGAACAATAAGAATATAATGGATGAGCATTACAGCCGGACAATGAGCTAGATCAAATTAGGGGAAGTGCTTTTACCATGCTGCCACAGTCATCAAAACAATATGATGCTCATCCCAAAACAGAGATGATCAGAGGGACAGACTAGACAAACAAAATCTAGAATCAAATATGCAACTATGCCCTAGTGTATATGTGGATCTTCCTAAAAGAACTGCTTGGAACACTAAAAAAATTAGAAAGAAAATACAGACCTGCAGTTTATACTATAATAACCTCCAAAAGGACACACGACCCAAGTGTAACAAATTGCATTATAAAGAAATTAGGGAACTGATGGTAATACATTTCAGACCCATAGCTAGGGAAAAATTTTAAACCAACAAGAAATAGAGACCATAAAAGACAAAACTGACAGTTTCAATCCAAAAAAAAAAAAAACAAAAAGAAAAGGCTTTTGTACAAACTAAATCAATAGCTGGAATAAAGAGAAGTTGAAGAAAGGGGGGAAAAATCTTTTAAGTCTAACACATCTGATAAAAGTTTGATTTCATAGGATCTCAGGCCTTCTAGTTCATATTATTGATAAGGAAACTGGGGCTCAGGGAGGTTATAAGTGACTTGCCCAGGGACAGGGAATTCTCATCCAGATACTATCTAGCTTATCAAAGTTCTTCCTAAAATATAACACTTATAACTGAACCCAGTCTCCAGATGTGATCAAATGAAAGCAGAGTAAAAGATGGGTACCACACCTTTATTCTTGGACTGCAAGCCTTTCTTAATGTTGCCTATGCTTGTATTAACTTATGCTACCCTAGCACACTGCTTGAATTGTCATGTCTCTACCAGGTTGCATCTGTGAAGCTGATTTTTTAAAAGATCCAAGTGTAACACTTTACCCAAGTGTAAGACTTTACATTTAATTGGCAGAATTAAAATGACAACTTGAAGAGTAATGAAAAGACAATAGGCACAAGCAAGCTATACCTGTAAATACTGATGACATGGGTGAAAAATGGGGTCAAAAACAAGAGTGATGGGCGGGTGGGCTAGTCAGTAAGCAGAAACGGAAGACAGGAGGCAGGGAGCCCAAATGCTGCCCGAGTGCTTCCAAGGCACTAAAAGAAACAGGAACGTCTCCAGCATGGTGAAGGACTTATAGGAACCCAGGTAAGAGGGCACAGATGAGAAGGAATGGAGACATCTCTACAGCTAGTTATAGGAAACACCAAAAAAAATCATCAACTCACTAACAAGACAGAAAGCACCAACATTACAGAAGCAGAAATAACCTATAACCAGAAGGCAGCACAGCTGCACTAAAGTACATTACTCTCAATAGTTCTCTGAGAGTCTAGTAACATATGGACCAGAGAGAAACAAGAGGCAAAATGTACTTAGCTTCCCACAACCCTTTGACAAGTATTCACACAAACAGTTATTGTCCTGGAGCAGCCAAATTCTAAGTTTATGGGGATAAACTTAAAGACCTCAAGAGTCTATCTGATCAAAGATACTTTTTCTTTCCTTTTTTTGGGGGTGGGGAAAGAGGAGGGAGTTGGTCTGTTTCCTTCACAGGGTGACTTACATAGAAATGTGTTTTGCATGACTGCACATGTATAACCTATGTCAGGTTCCTTTCTTTCTCAATGGGAGGGGAGGAAGAGAGAGAATTTGGAACTCAAAATCTGAAAAGAAGAATATTAAAATTGTTTTTACTTGTAATTGGGGAAAAAAAAATTAACTTTAAAAAAACAGTCTATCTGAACTGGCAGAATGTGACTATCACCTTCAATAAAGGCAAACTATATTTCTAAGTTTATGGCCTCTAAGTAAAAATGACAAGTCAGACAAGGAATTAAGAATAGACTTTCCTGAAGACAGCATGGGCTACTGTGGGCCCCCCCCCCAATCAACAAAATGATGAGCAATAAAGAAAAGCACTCAAAAACAATGGATCTCAATAAAGGAATTGGGTGGGGTGATCCCAGGGTCACAAATTGAAATTCAAAATATATTTATCTATGGGAATATTGTTATATGTGGTAGGTAGGTTTTTTAGTACTATTAGTAAAGTCCTAAATTTCAGGTATATCATAGGTTAAATATACTTTAAAGGCTAGTTTGGAAACCTAATGAACTATGTGATAAACAGAGTTTCTTTGGGGGAAAAAAAGGGCTCAGAATTAAAAAAAAACACCAACTGCTTTGCCTAAGAAACTTGAAGGATGTAACTCAATCATAAGGAAATGCAAATGATCACCTAAGTTTCTCTATCTGTAAAATGCAGATAATGACACCTGTAGGACCTACCTTATAGTGTTACTATGAGGCTAAAATAAAATAATTATGAAAAATACTTCAAAAACTTTAAAGGATTTCAATAATAAATGTCATTATTGCAACACAAGGAAATTAATCAAATATTACACCGCAATACATAAAAACTTAGGTAGTAAAAACTTAAAATTTTAAAGAAAAGAGGGCAGAAAGGCTTTAACTTACAGACTTTTTCTTTAATAATTAACTTACTTTATTGCAGCAATCTTTTTGGATAAAGTGCTCTTTGCTGGAATCTTTAAAACAAAAAAAATGTTGAGTCTTAAAATATTTCTTCAATCTTAAATACAGGAAAGAAAGAAAATTTCAAACGAAGTCTACACATTATCCTATATTAAAAAGCCAAAATATGAAATTTGTTACACTATAATTGGAGATATTCCTAGAGGAAAGAAATAAAAGCAGTAGTAAAAGTTTCAAATAATTTCATTAAAAAAAAAAACACAAAACCTTAAGCATGAAGCTGCCCTTATCATGGAGTTCATCTCTTAGGGATTTGTGGATTGTTTTATGCTATTTTAACAGGAATTTCATTGATGTCTTTTGTTTTTGCGTTTACCTGCACTTCCCAATGTATCTCCCCAACCCAAAATCATACCGTATAACAAAGCAAAAAGAGAAAAAAAAGGAATTCAGCAAAACTAACATATCAACCAAATCTAAACCATAAATTTTTTTGTTAATGACAGATAAAAATATACCATAAGAAATTAGCAAAAATGGTCTGAGGCCCCACTTAGGTAAATGCTGAAGATGAGTAACATAAGAACTTATAACAGAAGTGTCTCCTCCACAAATACGAATGTACAACTTCAGCTCTGCGTAGAGGTGAGCCTATAGAATTCCAATGTAGGAGAGCCTTTTGTATTCCTTCCTGACCTTGTGTGACAGACACTTACTTGCCAAATATAAAATTCATAATTATTCTCAATTTTAGGTAGTAAATTAGATCTGCTTCTGCCAAATTATTTTGCAAACCACAACTACTTAGACGTGGCAAAACAATGTAAATGAAACCTGTAAAACATTGCCAATTTCAAGATAATGAAAGTGATCAATCTTGATTCCAGGGAAGACAGAAGACATACATTTGCCCCCTCAGTAGTAAGGTGGAGAGCTAAGGGTGTGGAATGATGTATATGCATTTTTGCTTGAGGTTTGTTTACATTTTTCTTTGCTGTAAGGAAAGATTCATGGCAGAGGAAGTATACTGGGAAGTGATTCTGTTATTTTTAAAAGGCATAAATATTATTAACTGAAGGAGGAACTATTATTTACCAAAAAACCCCCAACAAATTGGAAAACTTTATGAACAAATAATTATGAAACTGGAGAAGTAACTGAATGCTATTTATGAATTCATTCAAAAACATTTAGTGTCTTCTATACGCAAAGCACTAAGTGCTCTGTGGAACACAACGATGAACATGAGTGTCCCCGGCCTTTCAGACAGGGGAAATAAAATACACAGGAGCAGCTAGATGGTGTAATAGATTGAGCACGGGGTTTGGAATTGAGAATACCTATCTTTGTCAGTTCAAATCTAACCTCACTTAGTAGCTGTGTGACAATGGGCAAGTCATTTAACCTTGTTTGCTTCAGTTTCCTCATCTGTAAAATGAACTACAGAAGAAAATGGCAAATCACTCTAGTATCTTTGTGAAGAAAACTTCAAATGAGGTTACACAGAATTGGACATGACTGACAAGTGACTTAACAACATAATACTGTACAAAGCAGTATGTAACAAAATGCCATAGATTCATTCATTAAAAGACCCACATTTATGAAGCACTTTCTATGAGCGATGCATTTGCTAATTATGAATGAGGAAGAAGATAAAATTTCCAGGTAAGAGGTTACCCTGCAAAAAGCCTTATGGAAGAAGTGGTATTTGGACTGTGCTTTAAAGAATAGGTAGGATTTCAGACCTTTAAAAAAGGAAAACAGCCATCACAGGAGAAAAGAATGGCTTAAACAATGATGTGGAAGAAAATGTAGGTCACATTTGAGGAATGACCAGGAGTCATGTTCACCAAATAAAAAAGATTTTTACAGTGAGTGATGACAGTGTAAGAGTTAGATTAGGTTTGACTGTGAAGGTCCTTGAATCTCAGGCTAATGAGTTCAGATGTTTTTTTTTAAGTGAGGCAATTGGGGTTAAGTGATTTGTCCAGGGTCACAGCTAGTGAGTGTTATATGTCTGAGGCCGCATTTGACCTCAGGTCCTCTTGACTCCAGGGCTGGTGTCCTACCCACTGGACTACTTAGCTCCCCCAGATCTTCTTTAGAAGGCAGTGGGAAGCCAAAGAAGATTTTTTAAAAAAGGGAATGGCATAATCAAAGGTGTACTTTAGGAAGATTAAATGCACAGTGGTATGCAGAACACACTGGAGATGGGAAACAGGGAGGCCAGTTAGAAGGCTCTTGCAACAGATTAGGCAAAGAATAATGAGGACCTAAACTAAGGTGGTGGCAGGAAAGAAAGGGCATGATTCAAGAGACACTGTGATGATGGAATCAAGGAGGTATTATATGGCTTGAGGGTAGGGATGAGTTAAATATAACTGAGGTTTGCAACCTGCATGACTGGTGGTATTAAAAGAAATAAGGAAGTCAAAAGGAGAAACTGGTTTGGAGAGAAAGGAGATAAGGGAAGATGGTGAGTTCAGTTTTAAACATGTTGAGTCTAAGGTGCTGGCAGGACATACTGGTAGAAACTATAAACAAGCAGTTGGAAATGTAGAAGTGAGGAACTTCAGAGAGGTAGAAGAAACAAATATTTGTGAGTCACTTCCAAGACAGGAGTTGAATTTGTAGAGTAACATAACATCTCTAAGATAGAGTGCAGAGAGACTAAGGACACAACCTTGAATAATTCTGACATTTAGGGTGAGAAAAAGAAAACAGTGATATGAAATTAAGTCTTAATTATATTTATTCCTTCATTTAACACAAAATAGTATCCATTAATATTTCCCTGTCAATGGATGGCCAGTAGACAAGAGTTAACAGTTTCTGTCAAGTATAATGGTAGCCTTAATAATACAGCTAGCAATTTACTAGGAAATGAAGACATTAACTTAGACAAAAACAAATAGATAGGAAGTAGACAGTAATAAGAAGTTAGGCCATTCAACATCATGGACTGGATTTGAACTTGGTCAATCCAGAAAGTAGAAGTTTAGTCAACCTCCACTATACCAATCTTTATGGTAATAAGAGATTTATATATAATAAAACTATTGTAGTATTTAAATGGGAACAACATACCAAAGACCGGAATCGCACACATTCTATTTGTCCATACTCTTTAAAAAATGACTTCAGCTCCTACAAACGAAACAAAACACTCATTCTATTTTCAGATAAAAAAATCAATTAAATACATAACACATATACGAAACCACAATTTGTAGCCTACTAATATTTAATCACTAAATTTCAAGCAAAGGAATAGTCAAAGGGCAAATGGTCTATCCACTCCAGCTACTGAATTTAGTAGGAAAAAAAACCCTTACCAATACTATATGTGCAACAGTTAAACCTAATTCCAACTCTTGGCATTTGGTGTATATATTGTACTTCATCTGAACCATTATAATAATGGCCTTCTGGTTGGTCTTCCCTGCCTCAAGTTTCTCCCCACTCCAGTTCATCTCTACTCAGTTATCAAAACCATCTTCCTAAAACACAAGTCTGACCAAGTCAACCCTTCCCCTCCACGTAATAAACTCCAGTGACTTCCCTCAGGATTGAATATAAAATCCTGTTTGGCTTTTAGGGCCTTCATAACGTGGCTCCTCCTACATTTCCAGTCTTCTTATACTATATTATCCTCTACATACTCTATGGTCTAGTGATACCAGCCTCCTTGCTGTTCCTTGGACAAAATACTTTATCTCTCAACTCTGCTTTTTCGTTAGCTGTCCCCATGCCTGGAATACTCTCCTCTGCTCCACCTCCTGGCTTCTTTCAAGACTCAGCTAAAATCCCAATTTCTCCAAGAAACTTCTCCCAGTCTCCTTTAAAACTAGTGCTTTCCCTCAAAGATTATCTTCAATTTATTCTGGGAGATCTTGTTTGTATGTAGATATTGTAAGCTGTCCCTTCGATTAGAATTCGAACTCCTGAAGGGCAGGGGACTATTTTTTTCCCTTCAGATGTGATAAAATAAACTACTATAAATTCCTACAATCCACATATTCACTCACCTTTTTTTTACAGGTGACAGGTAAATTTCCCACAAATACTGTTCTCTTATTCTTTATTCTTTCCTCTGCCTCATTGGCTTGAATCTTCTTTCTTTTATTTACTTCAAATGAATAATTTGAATTACCAAGTATTTTACCACCTGCTGTTTTGTCATTATTACTAGCTTGAGTTATTTTCCTTTTCTTCATCTGTTTAGCTTGCATTTTTTCTTCTTCTTCCTCTTCAAGATCAGCAGATGCCAAAGCACTTTCTCTTTAAAAGACAAAACATACATAAGAACAATAGGAATACCAAACATAATGGTATGTCTAAAACAAGTTAAGAAATATCACTTTTCTAACTGAATATTTCAAAAAGTGGGAAAAAGCTAAATTTAACATGTGGCTAGTTTTCTTTAACAATGTTCTTATTTCACTAAGTCTAAAAAATAAAGATATATTCTATTTTAAAAAATGAATATCTAGCAAATTCATATCTTTTGTACTTCCCTTTTTAATAACAACAAGCTATGCTGTTTCTAGGCACTGCACACAGTTTTCAGTCTATAAATACACATGTATACTGAATACCACATTCATAATAGCCATGTTCCCTAACTGTAATTTCATTTCTTCCACAAACTTATATTAATGCAGCCTATTAGAAATTCTAAATAGCAATCAAAATAAGAGAGAAAATGCTTTAATAATTTCACTGTCATTATAATATATGAGATGAGAAATTAAATTCTTGTATCTATTAAGGACCTACTATGTGTAAGGCACTGTATTAGGGATTCAAAAAGGAAATAAGACCTAGCCCTTACCCTTAAAGAGTTCACAATCTAATATGGGAGATTTGACACGTACATAAGAATCCACTATGAATCAGGTTATGGTAAGTGGAAATAAGAGGTCCAAGTCCTATGAGAAACTTGAAGAAGGAGGGGTAAGTAACTTCAGTTGCCATTATTGACAACTTCACAGAGAAGGTAAAAATGAGGATGAGTCCACTGCAGGACTTCAGGGCAGAATAAATAAAGAAAAGAAGAAAGGACAGGAAAATGGAGATGAGAAGTAAGAAAGAGGAACAATGAGTAGACTTTAGTTTGAGTAAATTACAGAATATTAAAAGAGAGTAGTGTGAGGAGGATCAAAAGATATTTTACAAAATTAAGAGAAAACCTTACTTTTCCATGTCTTGTTGTTCAAAGACAGAGCCTCAGTCTACCCATAGTGCTACATTAACATAGTCTTTCCATGTGAATTTCAAAATTTATAGTCTAACATTATATACTACTTCCAAATATCAAAAATATTAGCCTTTTATTAAGACTATTTCAATATTCTCTATAGTTCACCTATTAAAATCTAATCTATCTCCTCCACCATAGCTTCCTAGAGATCTCTGTCTGACCCTTTGCTCTCATCACTCCCTACCTTGAATGGTGCCAAATTCTAACCCTAACCACAAGAAACAGTAGCCTTCAGAGAACAGATGGCTTTGGGTCAATTGTTGTTGCAGACAGCTAGGTGGCAACAATACTGCTGTGTACAATGTTCTCCTGATTCTCCTCAATTCACTTTGCATCAGTTCATTTAAGTCTTTCTAGGTTTTTCTGACACCACCTTGTTCATCATTTCTTATAGCAGAATTGTACTCCATCACAATCCTATAACAGAACTTGTTCAACCATTCCCCAGATGGTTTGATTGATGTCCACACAATTTCCAACTCTTTGCCACCACAAAAAAAGCTGCTATAAATGTTTTTGTACATAAATGTCTTTTTTTCTTTTTAAATCTCTTTGGAATACAGACCTAGTAGTGTTATTGCTGGGTCAAAGGGTACACAGTTTTATAGCTCTTTAGGCATAGCTCTGAATTACTCTCCAGAATTCTTGGACCACAATTCCAACAATGCATTAGTGTCCCAATTTTTCCATATCCTCTCCAACATTTGCTGTTTTCCTTTTCTGTAATATTAGCCAACCTGATAGGTAAGGTGGGACTTTAGAGTTGTTTTAATTTTTACTTCTCTAATCAATAGTGATTTAAGAGTATTTTTTCTTCTTTTGAAAACTGCCCGTTCACATCCATTGACTATCAACTGGGAAATAATTCATATAAAGACAAGCTTTTAAAACTGCCTGCTTGCAAGGTACCTACAAGTTTCATTTTCTATTCAATAAAAGGTAAGCTCTTCATGTATAGATACATAGATAGATAGACAAACAACACAGACAAATCATAGGGACTGTATTCATTTTTTTCTTTGTATCTCTAGTATCTATCAGTATAGTATACAACAGATTTTTTTTTTTTGGCTAGGCAATGGGGTTAAATGACTTGCCCAGGGCCACACAGCTAGTAAGTGTTATGTTACAACAGACATTTAATAAATGCTTTATGGATGGAATGGATGGAATGACAGGGACTGTGCCATTTTTTATTTTTTCATCTTCACAGCCCAGCACAGTGCCTTGCACATAGTAGGCCTTTAATCATTTAATTTAATCATTTAAGAAGCAGCAACCTATTCCATGCAGGCACTATACTAGGCTACAGGGGTACAAAGACAAAATGAAAAACTACCCTTAAGGAACTGACATTCTACTGGGGGGAGCTTACATTTCACTTAATAAACATTTACTGAATTCAGTATTTGTTTTATGGGTGAGTGCATGGAGGAGAGACTTTTAAAAATTAGCTAACTGCTCACATTGCACCTGGTGAGCATTCTCCAAGTCTCTTCTCTACTCATTCTCTCATTTAGTGACCTCATCAGCATTCATTCCCTCCAAACCCTCACCTCAGCATATGATTCATAGACTTATTGTGTATATAACTAACTCCAATCTCTCTTCTGAACTTTAAATCTCACATTACCAGTTTCTTATAGAACATTTCAAACAGGATGCCCTAAAGACTTCTCAAACTCTACATGTCCAAACCTCAATTTATTTTTTCCCCAAAACCTAGCCCTCTACCAAATACCCCTACTTTTATCAAAGGCACAACACCTGTCACCTCAAAGTTACTTTAAACTCCTCATTCCTCTATTTAATCAGTTGCCAAATCCTATAATTTGTACCTCCACAACATCTTATACACCTCTTTATTCCCAGAGCCACCATCTTGGTTCAGACCCTCATCTGTTTTTAAGACTGTTATAATAGCCTCCTAATTAGTGTCCCTGCCTCTAGTCTCTCCCCAATCCAAACCAGCCTCCACAACTGCCAGAGTATTCTCCTTTGTCAGAGATCTGATCATTATAACTCTACTATTTGATAAATCCCAATGGGTCCATACTGCCTTGAGATAAAACATAAAACCTTGTCTTACTTTCAAAGCCCTTCATAACCCAGGTACAATCTAAATTTCCACATTTTATGGTCCAACCAAACCAACATTTTTCTTCACATATAGCATTCTCATCTCTATGCCCTTGAACCAGCCATCTCCCATGCCTGGGATGTACCACTTCTTCATCTGTGCTTTTGAGAAGCCCTAACTTCCTTCAAAATACAGCTGAAGCACCAGGTTCTAGATTAGGATTTCTTAAACTTTTTCTACTAGCCTTTCAGCAGCATTAGTTGCCCTTGCAGTGCCTGAGGGCATGGCACAGTGCAAAGTGCACATGCTTTGTGTTCAGAATCAAGGCTTCAGTGAAGTTCCACACATAGGCAAGTGCTACCAGAAATACCTTGGATTCATTGTGCATTTGATTTAGAATTAATTTTTGGTCATTGTGTGTTCAGAAACCTTTTACTGTTGCCAAATTTTTTGCAACCCGCAGCTTAAGAAGCACTGTATCTAGACTACAACTTTCCTGATCCCCTCAACTATAATTCCCCCTCACCCAGTTCATGTACTTTGCATTTATTCTGTATATACTCATAGAGGTACAAGTTGTCTCCCCAACAGAATATAAGCTCCTTTGGAATAGGAACTGTTCCACTCTCTGGAATTTGGAATTGGAGCAGGAGGTTCAGTGGATAGAGCACTGGCCTTGGAGTTTGGAAAACCTACATTCTAAGAGAAAAACAGGGTAGGAGCAAGAGTAACACTGCAGGCCTCAGAATTTCAGTTTTTAAAAGTCATGAAAATATGTCTCTTGACACTGTACTGACCTGTTTACCAACATTTTATCTGCATCAGAGAGATCCTTTTTCACTATAATTCTCTTTGCAGGCATTTGTTCAATAGCAGCACAAGTTCCTTGACTGTGGGATGCAATCTCATCTTCATTATGTTTTCTCTTCTTGATGTTAGCCTTTAAAAGGAACTAAGCTATATTTAAGAATTTTCACTCAGCACAAATACCAACTTATGAAAAATCCTACTCTTTTCTCCTCTCCCCACCCTTCCTTCTTCAATTGGTAGTACCTTCCATTCTAAAATTACTTTCCATTTACTCTGTATGCATCTTGTATACACCTAAATATTAACACATCTCCCCTCTAAGTTCCTTAGTCGTCAAAAATTTGTTTTTACCTTTCTTTGTGTCCTCAGCAATTAGCACAGTGCCTGGCACACAATAAACACTCATTGATTGACACATGATGATACACTAGATTTGGAGTCAGGAGACCAGCTGTTTCTTACTAATGTTTGTGGGACAGGCACCTCATCTTTCTCTGGGTTTCAGTTTCCTCACTGTAAAATGAGGGGGGACTGGATTAGATGACTTCTGAGATTCCTTCCAACTATAAACATAGGGTATAGCACAACAGATATAGAGTTGGCTTCCTAGTGGCTTTTTTGGATAAAGAGTAGACCTTCTTAGTAGGAAAGATCTAAATTCAAATGCAGTTTCTGACCTTGGGCAGTCACTTTGTCTCTAAGTACCCTCAAGCAATTCCTATGAATGTATGTTCATAGAGAAAATTCACTATACCAGTGAAATTAAATTCCAGCCAGGAGAAAAAAGTGTTTAGTAGGCACCAGATCACTTTCTGACTTACTTCTCTAGCAGCCACATAGACAGGCTGCTGCACTTGTGTAGCTGAGGAGCTGAAGAGTGACGCCAGGTGGCTCTTGCCACTCTTGAAGGGCTTGTTTTGAAACAGGCTGCTGGCCACTTGTCCAACCTGATACTCTCCAGATGAGGAGCTGCTCATTCTATCTTCCATTGCTTTGCTAGAAGGAAATAAAAGCAAGTATCTTTATAGCACTTTGTTTGCAAAGTGCTTTTCAAGTATTTCATTTGCTCCCCACAACAGCCCTTTGAAGCAGATGCTACTGTTATTCCCATTTTACATGTGAGGAAATTGAAGCTAAAAGAGTTTAAATGACTTAACTGGGGTAACAGCCAATTATTGCTTTCCTCCCACCCCCCTTTTTTTTTTGCCTTTCACAGTATATCCAGCACTTAGCACAGTGCTTGGTACATAACAAGTGCCTAATAAATAAATTCATAAATAAATCAAAGAAGGGACTTGAACCCAGGGCTTCCTTACTTCAAGTCCAGCTATTTATTCACTGTGCCACTGTTTATATACAGCTTTAAGATTTGCACAACTATACATGCATATTTACACATACACATATATAGTGATATAGATCTATCTGTATATATCTAGAGATAGAGAGAGCTATCCCTGGGGCAGTTGGGTGGTGTGGTAGACGGAGTGCTGAGTCAAGAGTCAGGAAGGCCTGAGCTCAAATCCAGCCTCAGACACTTACTAGCAGTGTGACAATGGGCAAGTTACTTAACCCTGTTTGCCTCAGTTTCCTCATCTGTAAAATGAGCTGAAGGAAATGGCAAACCACTCCAGTACCTTTGCCGAGAAAACTCCAAATGGGGTCCGGAAGAGAAGACTGAACAAGAGATATTGCAGTATAAGAGGTGTGTGTGTGTGTATATAAGTATGCAAATGTGTATATATACACAAATATATTATATATATATATTTGATGCTCACAACAATCTTGTGACGCAAATACTGTAATTATACCTGTTTTACAGGCAAGGAAAAGGAGGCTAAAGGAGGCTAAGTGACTTCCTCTGGGTCAGAAGCAGAACTTGAACCCAGGTCTTCCCTCCTCCAAGTCCTGTGCTCTCTACACCGCGACACCCAGCCGCCCAGGAGGGGCGGGAGGCTCGAGATGCTGCGCTCCTCGGAGCGAGGCGGGGTCGCAGGGACGACTTTTGATGGCACGTCTGCTCACCCCAAATCTCACCGGGGAGGGGCCACCTGAGCTCCAGAACGGATCACGGACCGCCGGGGGCCGGAGGGACAACGAGGCCTCCTCCTTCCGGCCTCTACAAAGACCTGGGGGTGGAAGAGAAGGGACCGAGGGGAGTGAGCCCCCGGCCCGCGCCCGCGCGCTGGCCTACGCACATTCCTCACCTATCTCCGGTCGGTTCCTTTTTCTTCCGTTTAATCTTCCCTTCTGTAGCCATCTCGGCGACAAGACAGCGCTTCCACTGGCTGCGGGCCACGTGATCCTGGCAACTTCGGGTGCTCGTGACGCCACTTCCGCCCGACCGGAGTGCCCCTTCCCCCTCCCTTCTGCGTCTCCCTCTCTCTCCTGCTTAAATCTAGTCTTTTTCTGAACCTGTTGATAGCTAGTTATAATTATATAATTATAGTGAATAATGCCCAAGCTTAGCGAGCTGAAAAAATGGACCGACCTCCTTCTTTCCATTTGGTGAATATGGAATATTGCCTATACTGTTCTAGAGGCGGGGAACTATGGATGGGGAGTATTGAATGCGCTTTCAAACACGATCCATGTGTTCCTTAATTTTGCTGATCTGCTTTTTTTCTTTTTAAAACTTTTAGCAGGGATGGCTCCTTGGTTAGGGGGATGGGAAAAGAATATATTCAGGAATAAATGAAATGTAGAAACAAAAAGCATTCATTAATAGATAATTTTTAAGACGATATTCAGAAAACGGGCGGGTGACTATGTTAGCACAGCCCCTCTCAAAGAAATGGCAGACACTAATAAGCTAGCATCGTTGTTAAACCTGGGAACTGCATCCTTCATCAGGAGCTTTAGGGGAAAAGCCTAGGATGTAAAAAGGGTCAAATTAACAAGCATGTATTAAATATCTACTATGTGCCAGACACTGTACTAAGCTCTGGAATTATGAAAAAAGGCAAAAACATCTCCTACCCTGAAAAGAGCCCACAGTCTAAGGGGGGAGACAACATGCAAACAGGTTCCATTCAGGATAAATTAGAAATCATCTCAGAAGGAAAGCTACTAAGATTAAGGAGGATTTGGAAGGCTTCTTAAAGAAAGGTCGATTTGAGTGGAGATTGGAAGAAAGCCAAGGGGCCTGAGATGAGCAGGGAGAGAATTCCAGGCAAAGGGTATATAGCCAAGTGAAAATGAACTGAGCTCAGAGGCAGTGTCTTGTGAGGAACAAAAAGGCCAGTGCTATAGGCAACTAATGAGATTTATTTTTTTGGAATCACTCCATTGTTTCTACTTTGTTATGCCCAGCCCCACTCATTTCTGCCTAGCTTCTAACATCACTCAACTGAAAACTATTGTCCAAAATTATCAATTATCTTCCAAAAAAAGTTACATTTTTAAAAATATTACTTTTATTTTATTTTACTTTTTTGGTGAATTTACAACTCTTTTCCTCTCACCTCCCCACCCTTAAGAGACAAACAAACAAACAAAAAAACCAAAATTCTTGTAGTACATTCACATAGTCAAGCACACAAAATTTTCACATTGACCAAGTCCAAAAATCTGTATCTCATTTTGTACTCTGAGTCCATCACCTGTCAGGAGGGAGGTACTATGCTTTATCCTGTGTCTCTGGGATCCTGAACAGATATTAGATTAACCAAGAGTTCTTAAGTTTTCACTACAACTAAAGCATGATAGATTTTTCTGTAGCCCCTTATTTTAATTCTGTGTGAATCTTTATGTTTAAGGTGTGTTTCATGTCGTATTATTGGATTATGCTTTCTAAGCCATTTTGCTATTCTCTTCTGTTTTAATGGTGAATTTATCACATTTACATTCACAGTTATGATTGTTTTTTCCTTCTATTCTCCTATACTTCATATTCTCTGTTTCCTTCCCCCTTTTTATAAAGAAGAGGATGCCGAGAGAGAAGGTGTGTGCTTGTCGCTAATGTTCAAGTTTGGTGAATTCTGTTTTTACTTCTCTGTTTCTCTTCTCTTTCTCTCACTCAGAACCCAATCATAAGTTTTTATTCTTTATTTTTTTAAAGCCCTTCTTTGCAATCTACCCCTCTGAGTTAGAGTTCATTTTGCTTAGGATTAATCCTTCCCTTCATCTATCCTCTTTCTTGTTCCCATCTTTAACTTCTTCCCTTTCCCTCTTGTTTCCCTACTGAAAGAAAGGTATTTTTGAACCCACCTCTGCATGTGTATTCTTTCGTCCTTTGATCAGTTCAGATGAAGGTGAAGTTCAAGTGTTGCCCACTCTCCCCACCTTTCCTTGTTGTTTGTATAGGATTCATTATATTTCATATAACTGCAAACCCCTTTCTTTTAAGATAATCAAAATATTAAAAACAAAAAACTCCCAGGACCTCTAATTAGACTCCCTCTATGACCACTGATGATAGGATTCTGAGAGGATAAGTATCATCTTGTAGCACTTATTATATTTATATATTATATATATATATATATATATACATAATATATATATATATGATATCATCAAGTAGCATTTATTAAATACCTACTATGTGCCAGGCACTGTTCTAAGTGCTTCACAAATACTATCTCATGTTAAAATGTAAAGAGTTTATCTTTATTTAATCCCTTATGATTGTTTACTCATGTTTAACTTTTAATGTTTCTCTTGACCCCTGTGTCTGTATTTCAAAGTTTCTATAAAGAAACAGAATCAAGATGGCCAAGTAACAGCATTTTTTCCCAATTCACCTAGCATACTTCTTTCACAACAACCTAGGAAATGCACCAGATTGAATTCTGATCAGAAAAACCAGGAAAATTTCACAGTAAGTTATTTTTCCAGCCAAGGAATTCTAAGGAAGATAGAGAGGGAAAACAGTAGGGCAGAGGATGGCCAGGATGAAGCACATAAGGAGTAGGGACTATTCCACTGGCCAGGAAGGTAAGGAGACTGAGGCTGAACATCAGGGCTGGAAGCATCAAGGCATAAAAAGTTCCCAGGGGGCCCCTGAAACAGAAAAGGGGTGCTGTCACAGTTCCAGGGTAGAGAGGAGCAATCCTGTAGGAGATGGGCTCTACCTGTAATTTTTAAAATCAGATAATAGTAGTAGAGGAAAAATGGGGAAATAAATAAGAGCTATGCAAGAAAGTTATGAAAAGAGCATGAAGGGCTTGGTAAGAAGAGTTACATAGTAATTCTGAAGAAAATAATTCCTTTAACATTAGAATTGGCCAAATGGTAAAAGTCGTACAGAACCTCACTGAAGAAAATAACTCCTTAAAAATTAGAATTGGTGGAAGTGGAAGCTAATGACTCTATGAGACATCAAGGAACAATAAAACAAAGTTTTAAAAAGATTGTAAAAATAGAAGAAAATATGAAATATCTCAAAGGCAAAACCAACTGACCTGGGAAATAGACTGAAGAGATAATTTTAAAATCGTTGTACTAACTGAAACCCATGAGCCAAAAAAGAACTTTGACATCATATTTTAAGAAACTATACAGGAAAGCTTCTCATATATCTTAGAACCAGAAGCCATAGTGGAAACTGAATGAATCCACTGGTAACCTCAAAGAAATCCAAAAATAAAAACTCCCAGGAATATTATGGCCTATATTCAGAACTCCCAGGGCAAGGAGAAAATACTGCAAGAAGGCAGAAAGAAAGACTTCCAGTAACATGAAGTCACAATCAGAGTCACACAGGATTTAGCAGCCACCAATTTAAAGACACAGAAGGCTTAGAATATGATATTCCAGAATGCAAAGGATCCAAGACTAAACAAAGAATAACCTACCAACAAAAGTGAGTATAAACTGACGGGGGGAAAAGGAATCTTTAATGAAATAGAGGACTTTCAAGCATTCCTGATGAGCAGACAAGTGCTGAATAGAAAATCTGATATTTAAACACAAGACTCCAGAGAAATAAAAAAAAAGGTAAGCAAGAGTGAGAAATCATAAGAGACTAAACCAAGTTTAAACATTTTTATATGGAGAAAAGGATATATATCCCTCATAACTTTATCATCCTCAGGGGCCTTAGAGGAAGTCTAAATAGAGGGCCTGGGTGTGATTCTGTTATGTTGGGATGTTCTTAAAGGAAGAATGGAAGGATGGGGAAGAAGAATGCCCCCTAAGATGAGCGAAGGGAGAGGAAGAATAGGGAAAATTATCTCACATAAATGGGGCACATAGCATAAGTTTATACAATGGAGAGTGTTGTGGAGGGCACTAGGCAACACTTGAACTTCACTCTCATCTGAACTAGTTCAAAGAGGGAAGAATAAACACATACACGGGCAGTTAGGTATAGAAATTCATCTTAACCAACAGGGAAGAAGGAGGGAGAAGAGGTTAAGAAAAAAGTGGTATGAGGTAGAATAAAAAGGAGGGTAGGATAAGGGAGGCAGTTGTCAGAAGCAACACAAACTCTCGAGGAGAGGACAAGGTAAAAAAGATAAGGATACATATAAGAGAATAGGGTTGCCGCTAATACATAGTTAGCAAACATAACTGTGAGTGTGAACGGTACTAGCCCATTAAACAAGAGGACAGCAGAATTAATTAGAAACCAGAATCTAACAATATGTTGTTTACCAGAAAGATACACGGAGAGTTAAAATAAGGGGCTGAAGCTGAATTTCTTACGGTACAATCAATAATTTCATTAAAGATAATGACAAAAGCAAGAACACATCCAAATTTGTGGGATGTAGCCAATATAACATTTAGGGGAAAATGTGTATCTCTAAATGCTCACATCAATAAAAGAGAGAAAAAGCAGTTCAACAAATTGAGTGTGCAATTAATTAAAAGAACTAGAAAAACAAAAAATTTAAAACCTCCAATTAAATGCTAAAATAGAAGTCTTGAAAAATCAAAAGAGAGATTAACAAAATGAAAGTAAATTTAAAAAACCACACTGAAGTAATAAATAAAACTAGGGGTTGGTTTTTTGGGGAGAATAAAACAATAAAACAAACTACTGGCTAATTTGATTTTTAAAAACCCAAATTATTAGTATAAAAAATGAAAAAGTCAATTCACAACCAATGAAGAAGAAATAAAAGCTATTATTAAAAGCTATTTTGTCTAAATTCCAATAAAACTGAAAATCTAAATAAAATAGATGACTATTTAGCAAAAATAAATTTTCCAGATTAACAGAACAGGGAAGAGAATACTAAATAACTTTATCTTAGAAAAAGAAATTGAACAAGTCATAAACAAGCTCTCTAAGAAAAAAATGCCAGGACCAGATATATTTACAAGTGACTTCTACCAAACATTTAAAGAACAATTAATTCCAATACTATGAAAACTGTGTGGAAAAATAGATAAGGAAATCCTACCAAATTCCTTCTATGACATAAATATGGTCTTGATACTTAAATGAGGAAGACTCAAAACAGAGAAAATTATAGACCAGTTTCCTCAATATTACTGAAAAAATTTTAAATAAAACACTAGCAAGGAAATAGATCAATCAATCAATCACTTGAGCTCAGAGTATACCATAAAGGTCAACCATTATGACCAAGTGGGATTTATACAAGAAATGCACGGCTGGTTCAATTTAGGAAAACTATAAGCGTAAATGACCATATTAATAACAAAACAACGAAAATCATGATTATTTTTATAAAAACTTTTGCCAAAAATACCATACGTATTCCTGCTTTAAAAAAAAAACCCACAACAAAAAACACTAGAAAACACAGAAATAAGTGGGGCTTTCCTTAAAATGATTAGCATCTATCTAAAACGAAGAGCAAGTTTTATCGCTAATGGGGATATGCTAGAAGTCTTCCCAATAAGATCAGTCGTGAAGCAAGGATGTCCATCATCACTGTTACTATTTAATACATGTCAATATGACAAGAAAAAGAAACTGAAGGAATCAGGATAGGCAATGTGCAAACAAAACTATCACTTTTTTTGTAGATGATATGATGTTTAATTAGAAAACACTAGAAAGTTAACTAAAAAAACTAATCAAAACAATTAACTTCAGCAAAGTGGCAGGATATAAAATAAACCTACACAAATCATTAGTGTTTTTGCATATTGCCAACAAAACCCAGCAGAAAGAAATTCCACTTAAAATAATTACAGAAAGTATAAAATACTTGAGGAACAAAAATTCAAGAATATTAAGGGAATCAGTGGAAAAATGGGAAGGAAGGGGCCCAGCAATATAGATTTTAAATCATGCTATAAAACTGTAATCATCAAAACCAGGTAAGAAATAAAGAAGTTTATCAGTGAAATGGTTTAGGGAAACAACATGCAGAAGTAAATGAGCACAATAACTTTGTGTTTGATAAGCCCAAAGATCCCAGCTATTAGGGCAAGAAATCATTACTTGACAAAAACAATTGGAAAAACTCCCAAATAGTCTGGCAGAAACTTAGAATAGACCAGCATCTCACACTATATACCAAATTAAGTTCAAAATGGGTGCATGATTTAGACATAAAGTGAGATATCATAAGCAACTTCATGGAGCAGGGAAGAAACTGCCTATCAGATCTATGCAGAAGGGAAAAAAATCATCACCAAACAAGGGATAGAGAAGTTCACAGGAGGCAAAATAGATAATTTTGATTATATAAATTGTAAACATTTTTGCACAAACATAATCAATACATCAAAAATCAGAAGAAAAGCGGGGTGGGGGGAATGGGAGGGAAATCTTTGTAGTAAGTTTATCTGATAAAGATCTCATTTCTAAAATATGTAGGGAACTGAGCCAAATTTATAAGAATAAGAACCATTTCCCAAATGTTAAATGGTTAAGAGATAAGAATAGGTACTTTTCAGAAGGAAAAAAAATCAAAG